TGAACTTCTTTTGCACCGTGCATGTCCAACCCGTGCTAATCCAAGTTGACTAATTTGCGGGTTACATTTAAAATTTGGCGATTTTTTTTTGCTTAAACCATGACGCCGGCACACGATGGTTTGCTCCTGCGAATGCCGTCGCGGGATCTTTAAAATGCCCGCCGTGGCAGACGACACGTGGAATATTTCGCGGCAGTGACGGGGGGGGGGGGGGGGTTGGCCTCTGGATTCGAACCGTGAGCCTCTTGGGGCAAATGCGCTGCCGCTGGGCCACGTCACCGCCCCCCCAAACCTCTGCACAGAACGTGTTTTCGGTGAGGTGCAAGCAGCTGCCTTCCTTGGTTTATGCTGCCTGTGTTTTAACTTAAAGTGTGTATATCTGTCTTTACCCTTTATCTCCGTTTGGCACTCGATGTTCCTGCATCTCATCCTTCCTACCTTCCTAGTATCTCCCCCCCCCGCAGTGTCTGCATTAATAATTTGCTTTGTATGTTTTTTCCACTCTTGTCTCTTTCGCCCCACCCAACCCCCTCTTATCCTTACCCTCATCTCCACTACCCTCCGTGCCTCCCTTAGATGTGGACGAAGCCTCCAAGAAGGAAATCAAGGACATCCTGACACAGTACGACCGTACTCTGCTGGTTGCCGACCCTCGCCGCTGTGAGCCCAAGAAGTTTGGTGGCCCCGGCGCTCGTGCCCGCTACCAGAAGTCCTACCGATAAACCTTCTCGGCGTCGTGGCTCAGCTGCCAAATTCGTAATAAAAGCGGATGCGTTGACAGCTTCTCCCCTTGTTTGGAGGTGTGCATTATTTGCCGAGTGTGTGCATAGTGGTGGTTGCAGCCGGTTGGGCTTGAGTAGCTAAGAACAAATTTGAGATTGTGTTTTTGCTTGCGTAGCATGGAGAGATGATGATTGGTCGATTAAATTAATCGACTAAACTGCAGTAGACTACTTTTTTGATGATTATTTTAACTTGTGATGTGCCACACTGCTTTTGCTTGCACTCAAAGAGAGGGTAACTCGGAGGCTTGACGAGGAACCACGGTCTAGCAGGAAGGCAGTCACGCAGTGGGCCTGTGCCGACAATTGCTCAAGCTCTGCGGTCCTCGGTTATTAAGATGTTAGCCAATTAATCTGTCCCTGTGGGATGAAACTGGAGCACTGCAGAACACGTGTGCAAGGGTGGGGCAACACTGTCCCATACAGACGGAACGTGGAGGTTATTGTTTTGCTATACTGCGTTCTAGAAAGCCAGTTTTATGGGCATCTCGATGCCTATGGGTAGAATTTCATGACATTTGTGCATTCCAACAATTTTTACCTCATTCTTGGTTCTTTCGGTAAAGTCACGTAGAAGGGTGGCTTTCAGACCGCATCCATTATTTGAGTCCCCCCCCCCCCTCTTTTCTGAACATAGATGGACTCGTCCATCTAATTAACTGCCAAATCGCTCTGTGGTGCTAACGTTAAAAAAACGCCACGTCAAATTTTCTTGCTGTGGTTTTCACACCTGATGATTATTGCTTGTGTTGCAGTCGAAACGTGAGAATTTTATTGTTTTATATTTTTATTATGTTATTTCCCTTTCTACGTGACTTTACCGAAAGAACCAAGAATATGAATCCCTGCAGGCACGAAAGCTTTAAATAAAAATTCAACCCTCACCTCCAGTGTTGGAATATAGCCACCACCGCCAAGTCTTGATTGATCATTTGGGTCTCTTTTTAAAGATAGTGGTCGATCTTGTCTCCTGATGATGGGATGCGCCAGAGTTAAGCACGGATTGATGCTGATATCACCAAGCCCTGCCCACCTTCCATCCAGTTGCTGGCAAGGGAACAGGGATGGGACTTGTTTAAAGCTATTATAGTAAGTCTAATTGAATTGATATTCTTTTTGAGATATTATTTGATTAGATTCCCCTGTTCTGCACGGGTGTGGTTACATAAAAAGCAAGTTGTACAGTTGAATGGGATTGCAAGCGAGTGAAGCTGTCAAATAATCGGTGACTACCAACCATTGTTTAAAAACAAGTGTTTGAGCTTTTTTGGTAGCTACATAATGTGAGGCCTACCCTAAACATTCAAAGTGAATGTTTAGGAGTCGCTCCGTAGTGTTAGTTGCAAATTCGTCGTTTGCTGCACCTACTTCCATCACCGTTGCTGTTGTGTCCTAGAGCGTGTAGCCCGTGACCTGCTACATTTCCCAAGTGGAGCCTCGCGTCGTGACATCGTCTCTCATCACAGCCACGGGCGCATTTTTCACCGCCCTCAGTGGGTCTCTTACGGCGTGGCGACGATGCTCGAAGCTGCTCGCAATGAGTGAAGGGAAATCTCTCACTCGGAGGACGCCTTCACAGCTGCCCCTAGGCACAAATCAAGACTGGCGTTCCAGCGGTTTCTTACACGAACAACTTAAAATGTTATCTTCAATCGGCAATTCACGTGGAAATAATCATTTAAACAAATGTAAACAAAATTATATAAAAGTATTTTTTTTATGAGAACATTTTTCTCTCATCTCCAGCTGCCTCGTTGGGAACGCCCCGCGCCCTGGACGAAAGTGAACAATTGATCGCTTTTCGTCCCAACTAAAAAAGGCGAAATAACGCTACGGAATAAAAAAAAGCCTCTGCGCATTGACAACAAAAACAATATCCAGGGAATTTGTGGAAATTTGTCGACGGTCAATTTGCCAATGGTGACGTAAACGGCTGTCAACCCATTATTAGTGACCGAATTACAGACCAATGCATACCTCATTGTATTCTTTGGTTCTTTCGGTAAAGTCATAGAAAAATAATACAAATAAAGTGAATATTTTATTTGTATTCACTCTATTTGTATTATTTTTCTATCTACGTTACTTTACAAATAAAATATTCACATTATTTTTCTTCTGTCTACGTGACTTCACCGAAATAACCAAAGAATATGAATTCCTGCAGTCACGAAAGTTAAGTCAAAATTCAGACCTTATTGGTCACCCCGTTTCCCTTATACATCTCAACGTTGATTCTACAAAGTCCATCACGAGGGAGAAACAAACTAAAATAGACCTAAAAAAATTGAACTCAATCTCGCTGTACAAGAAACACGGGGTAGCCGTACGGGGTTGACAGGCGTGCGTACACGAGGCGTGGTGAACGCCGCGATTTCCCCACGCGGAATTCGGCGATGCTGCAGATTTCTTCGGCCGCGCCGCTGAGTCGTTCCGACTTGTCTTGGCGCTTCCGCGGATTTCACCCACAGCGGACATTTGACGCCTCTGCCGCGGATTTTCCTAGGGCGGATTTTAAAGGAGCGCTGCCGCAGTTTACCTTGATGCAGTATTTGCTGTTGCCACGGATTTTCACAGCGGACATTTGACGCTTTCGCGGATTTTCCACGTCAAATCCACAAGGGCTGCCGCAGATTTCCACATCAAATCCATGAGGGCTACCGCGCATTTATACATCAACTCCACAACGCTGCAGCGGATTTCAACATGAAATCCATTAGGGCTGCCGCGGATTTCCACGTCAAATCCGCGAGGGCTGCCGCGGATTTCCACGTCAAATCCACGACGCTGCCGCGGATTTCCACGTCAAATTTACAAGGGCTGCCGCGGATTTCCACGTCAAATCCGCGAGGGCTGCCGTGGATTTCCACGTCAAATCCATGAGGGCTGCCGCAGATTTCCACGTCAAATCCGCGAGGGCTGCCGCGGATTTCCACGTCAAATCCACGACGCTGCCGCGGATTTCCACGTCAAATCCACAAGGGCTGCCGCGGATTTCCACGTTAAATCCATGAGGGCTGCCGCGCATTTCCACGTCAAATCCGCGAGGGCTGCCGCGGATTTCCACGTCAAATCCACGACGTTGCCGCGGATTTCCACGTCAAATCCACAAGGGCTGCCGCGGATTTCCACGTCAAATCCATGAGGGCTGCCGCGGATTTCCACGTCAAATCCACGAGGGCTGCCGCGGATTTCCACGTCAAATCCACGAGGGCTGCCGCGGATTTCCACGTCAAATCCACGACGCTGCCGCGGATTTCCACGTCAAATCCGCGAGGGCTGCCGCGGATTTCCACGTCAACTCCACGACGCTGCCGCGGATTTCCACGTCAAATCCACAAGGGCTGCCGCGGATTTCCACGTCAAATCCATGAGGGCTGCCGCGGATTTCCACGTCAAATCCGCGAGGGCTGCCGCGGATTTCCACGTCAAATCCACGACGCTGCCGCGGATTTCCACTTCAAATCCGCGAGGGCTGCCGCGGATTTCCACGTCAAATCCACAAGGGCTGCCGCGGATTTCCACGTCAAATCCATGAGGGCTACCGCGGATTTCCACGTCAAATCCGCGAAGGCTGCCGCGGATTTCCACGTCAAATCCACGACGCTGCCGCGGATTTCCACGTCAAATCCACGACGCTGCCGCGGATTTCCACGTCAAATCCGCAAGGGCTGCCGCGGATTTCCACGTCAAATCCATGAGGGCTGCCGCGGATTTCCACGTCAAATCCGCGAGGGCTGCCGCGGATTTCCACGTCAAATCCACGACGCTGCCGCGGATTTCCACGTCAAATCCGCGAGGGCTGCCGCGGATTTCCACGTCAAATCCGCGAGGGCTGCCGCGGATTTCCACGTCAAGTCCGCGAGGGCTGCCGCGGATTTCCACGTCAAGTCCGCGAGGGCTGCCGCGGATTTCTTTCACCCCCGCAACTACGCGGCGACGAGTGTCATGGCCGCCATTTTCGCTCGCTGTGCGCTGCGGTGAAGGCGTCCTCAGCGGCGGCTCCCGGGCAGCGGCGAGGGAGAAACTTAAAACAAATTAAACGTCGAGCGAAAGGGGTGGGTGGGGAGTAGGACAAAAAAAAACCCGCAAATCTAAACAAACGGTTACCAATTCGACATCTGACGTAAATTTAGAGCGGGGAGGGGGCAGGGTTTGTGGAGTGGGGGGGGCGGGGTCGCTGAAGCGGAGGGTGAAAAGGAGGGGAGGGAGATCGGAGCCACTAGCGAGGAGGAGGCGAGAGGAGTCTCTGACGAGGAGGAGGAGAGAGAGGAGTCTCTGACGAGGAGAGGAGGACGAGGAGTCGTCTCTGACGAGGAGGAGAGAGGAGTCTCTGACGAGGAGGAGAACCGCGCCAACTCACGAGATGCCGGCCGTGTCCAAGGGCGATGGCATGCGCGGCCTCGCCGTCTTCATCTCGGACATCCGCAACTGTGAGCGGGGCTCCCCACCATCACCACCACCAACCCCACCCACCCCCCTCCTCCTTCAACCACCTCGCATCCACACCAACCACCTCGCAGCCACACGAACCACCTCGCATCCACACCAACCACCGCGTTCTCGGTCGCGCCATTTCGTTGCCGCCGCCGCTGCTGAGCTAGCGAGGCCGGCCGTGGGGGGGGGTTCCGTCGATGGCTCTGTTGGAATGATGCGTGGGGCCCCCTTCCCCGCCTTAGGTGGCGGTTGTTGTTGTTGTTTTCTCGTCGGCCCGACTGTTCCGCAGACACAATGCGGCTTGCAATGGTTGCACGCCGTCACCGCGGTTCATGCCCTCGTCGATTTTCCTGTTGCCCGTCATCGCAAATGCTCTTCTGCTGTTCGGTGAACGCCAGGACTCTGGCCTTACCTCTCTCTCTCTCTCGCGCTCGGTTAATAATGTTTGCGATACGCACGGCGAGTGTGAGATCGCCTGATGCGTGAAGCGCATCGTTGTCGGTCGTGGCTCGAGCGTCCGGAATTGTGAATGTCCCCTCGGAGTCGATAGCGCGACGTGGCCACCGGGACCCGTTCCGTTCATCACCCCGACAACCCCGCGTCCCCCTCGATGGAACACGCCGCTCGCAAACCTCTCGGCAATCGTTGGCGCGTTTTGATTCCCCGCGCGATGTCTTTAGGGGCACGGACGACGACCACGACGACCTTCTCGCGTGCACGATTTGTTGTTTGTACGCCGTCAGAATCGACTTTGCCGCATTGCATTGCGTGACGCGAGGGGCGGCTTCGCCTTCGCCACATCCCCAGCTCAAAGCCCAAAGGTCCCCAGCCACCCGGGGTGTGTGCGTGTCGCCTTGACCAGACTTGCGGGGGCAAGTGCTGTTAGCGAGCAAGCACAAACCTCGTGAAGGGGTGGTGGTGGGGGGCCCGGCACTGTGGCACACACCAGGGGGGGTTGGGGTGGGTGGCCCAGCACAACCACGCCCGGCCACCTTTATCTCCCCTAGTGGCGATGGTTATACACTGCATTGGGGTACTCATTTGAGGCTGAGTCGGCCTAGGGGGGGGTAAGCCCAGGATCGGGTTGAGATAAACTGCTGCCGGTGTTGGCCCGCGACCGGGAGCTGGAATCGAACCGAGGTGGCCGGCGTGGTGGCGCAGCGCGGGATGTAAACCAACCCTGGCATGCTACGAGCGCTCCATAGTCTCCTCGCGGGAGATTAAATGACACAGCAAGCAAGGATAGATTAATAATAACAAGTCACTGTTCGATTACAATTTGCATTGCACAGCTGGTGTAGTAACGTTGCGGACGGGGAGAGCGAGCGAGACGCGTTCTTGCACGTGCAATGATTGATTGAGCCGAATTGAATGGCGTGTAACCACGGTAATAAAACCCCCTCAAATCTCCTAATAACATCCCTTTTTTCCTGCTCCCGTGCAGTAAAAGCGGCAGTGTCGCTTGCTTGTCATGCCTCGCCCTGTACCAGTTACTTGATTGAGCGACGACCCGTAATCTCACTGGCGCGGCGTACTAATAACCTGCACGTTATTTACACGACACATCATCAGCACGTACGTGAACATACCGTGTATATCCCAACCTACAATGGATGAACCCATTGTAATTTCTATGCATTCATTCATTCCGCCCCATCCCCACTTGGCACGTGAAGGGCTTACAAGTGACATCATCACATCTTTATCTCTGTTGAAGGAGGAACGGAACAGGAGGAGGATTTCTCCACAAATCTGGCTGTCCGCCTGATGATGCTACTTGTAATTACTGGCGAAACGTCGTACTAAGATTGTAAATATTCCTGGTTCTTTCGGTAAAGTCACGTAGAAGGGAAACAATAAAATAATAAAAATATAAAAACATGACGTTTCGACTGCAACACAAGCAATCATCAGGTGATGATGATTGCTTGTGTTGCAGTCAATAATTTTATTGTTTTATATTTTTTATGATTTTATTGTTTCCCGTCTACGTGACTTTACCGAAAGAACCAAGAATATGGATCACTGCAGTCACACGAAAGCTTTAAATCGGAGATTGCAAATGTGGATTTGCTGTCCAACACACCGGTGTGCTGTACTCGTAACGAATTGGCACGTTCTGTTTACGTGACAAACCTTACTAATTGGCTGTGTCGGGTGGTGGCGGGTTTAGCGACACATTTCTATTTACGCGATCTAACAAAAAACATTTTGGATGATATTGATCTCGAAAGCCTACGTGTTAAACAGACGTTAAATCATTATTCGTAGCTAAGTGTGCAGTGTATTTAATTTGGGTTTTTTTTTTTGCCAAACCATCTCAATCCTATGCAGGACCCTTCCGAAATTTGGAATATTCGGGGTCATCGTGGTAGCATCTTTCCCGGCCGCGTACGTAATTGTATTGGCGTTAACCTTGGCCTGCGGCTTATTGAAAGATGGTGGCCGCGCATCCCAGACGATGTGGGCCGTATAGTCAACCACCGCAGTCTGCACCTCTTAATTTGAGAGATTGGAATGCACGAGCAGAAGCTGTTGTCGGCTCCCACCGTCTCTCTCTGCCAATCGGTGGACTCGAGCGGAAAACGACTGAGCAGTGGTTCCCAGGGCCGTGGTTCGCAAAGCCGTGACAAGCGGTCCGGTTGAGACTCTTGCAGTCACTACGACGGTGTTGTACTTCGCTGACACCAGAAACATTTGTGCTACCCCTTGGACAACTGTTCAGATAGTGGCCAGCGCAACCCAAACAGTGGACCGTGGAGTTAAATCCAGTGTAGCTACACGAACTCTCTCTCCCCGAAGCCCCCTCGTCATGTCCAGCAGCAGCAGACTCATGGAGATACAATAAAGACCAGCCACAGTAGGAGTGTGATTGTGGCTATGCAACCCAAACAGTGGACCGTGGAGTTAAACCCAGTGTAGCTACACGAACTCTCTCTACCTGAAGCCCCCTCGTCATGTCCAGCAGCAGCAGACTCATGGAGATACAATAAAGACCAGCCACAGTAGGAGTGTGATTGGCCATGCAACCCAACCTATGGACCACAAAGTTAACCCACTGTGGTTGTGTTCTTTCAACGGCTGAGGAGAACAGCGACATGACACAAACTCTCTTGCTCTGCTGAAGCCCTCTCGTCGTGACCAGTAGCAGCAGCAGACCTCAACATTGGCATTCATCTCCTGAATTACATTGGGGCTGCTGCTGCGCAAGGATCGCCATTGAAATGAAAAGGTCTGGCCTGTGTTTGTCTCTTGATATGCACAGCGAATGTGGCGAGGCTCTCTGTGTTGTTGTATGTTGAAACTTCTTTCGCACTGTACGAAGCCAACCGTGCTAATCGGATGTGCTAGCAACAATACCCGCCATTCGCCACGAAGTGACGGTAACGTCACCATGGCGCCTGTGCCAGGCCAGGTGCACTTTTTGAAGCCACGTGAAGTGTCGAAGACCCCCAGGTGCCATTGGTTGGCTGACCGAAATGACTGGTAGATACACCAGCTGTACCCCCTACTGTGCCAACTTGCTGCATTTTAGCCGCCCGGCGCTCCACTCATGTTGTGAGTATGCTAACAACAACAACCGCCATTCGCCACGAAGTGGCGGTGATGTCCCCACGTTGCTTTTGCCAGGCTATGTGCACGTTAAGACCACATGAAGTGTCAAATGCCCGCTGGCAGGAGGTCACGGGGCAGACCCAGGTGCCATGGGTCGATTGAGATGTCTGGTCGATGCACCACCTGTGCCGCCTACTGTGCCAACTTGCTGTGTTTTAGCCGCCCGGCGCGCTGCTCATTGATGTCACCCGTTGCTCCTCTGCCGTCTACTGTTGCTGGAGGGCGACTGCCTCCAACTGCCCAGTAGCATCTTGACACTACTGATACCAGTCATCGGCAAGTTCACTCAGATCCACATCCTCTTGTACGATGTAACTCTATCCCTTATCTAGCCTGTGCCACGCCCATTTTGCCCCCTCTATCCGACCGAAAAAAAGCTGTTTTGGGATGTGGTGGCTGTGCATGCGGGCTACATGACCCAGCCAATGCAGCCTTGTCTTCCAGAGGAGCTCACCGATGGGACGTTGTCCAGATCTTTCAAGGATTTGTGAACTCCTCACACAATCCAGCCAGGTTAAACCCAGGATGAATTGTAGGCAGGCCAGTGTAAATGTTTATAACCGGCAAAGATGTTCCATTTGGGGGGTCTATGTGTTGTAAGCGTAGAGAAGGAAGGGCATGACCGTGGCTTGGAAGAACCAAAGCTTCTTGTGGAGCGACAGACCAGGTAGCTTCCACACAGCGTTACGCAGCCGATAAAAAGATAATGCCGCTCGACTGATTTGGAGTGAAACCTCTGCTGTCAAACCAGAGCCGGTCATGAGCACACTGCCCAGGTATAGAAAACTCTCCACTCTCTCCACAACTGCCCCATCGCCAATTAAGAGTTGTGGGGGTGGAGTGTGATGGTACAAAATACCCAGGCAGGTTCTTAGTTTTGGTGGGGCTGATGATAAGGCCCCACCTCTTAGTGGCATGCTCCAGGTTCAGCAGCAGTGCCTCCAACTCTTCTGAGTGAGCAGCAATCACCAGATCATCGGCATATGTAACATTGTTGACCAATACAGAGCCATCCCTTGACCATCGAAGGCTTCACGAACTACGTAAATAGATGTTAAATAATGTGGGAGCCAGAGGACATCCCTGTCGCACCCCAAGGTGAACTTGGAATGGTTCCGACTCCCGGCCACATAGTTTTACCCGGGCCTGCTCACCATCATGAAGGTCCTTAATGATTGTGAGCAGAGAGTCAGGGACTCCGTAAGCACGAAGAACAACCCAGAGCCCAGGCCTTCTGATGGTATCATCGGCCTTGACCAGTTCAATAAAGCAGATATGTAGGTCTTGTTGGAATTCCTACACTTCTGCTGTAGCAGATGTGCTAGCACACACAAAAGATAAAGACCCCCCATATAGCCTTAACCCACTGTAGGGGCAAGTGCTGTTATCGAGCACGTGCTAGCACACACACACGGACGCACACTTCGCGTTTATATTTATATACTGAGCTTCATTTACCCGCCCCAAGCCCATCCCAAGCCCATCGCATAGCTTCTCCTGCATCACTTGCCGTCATTGGTTCGCCTGCATTGACTGAAATTACGCGTGACGCTCTTCCTTCTGTTGACATTCAACCAACCGTTCCAACGTGCAATCATCCACCGCTATTTTAGCAATATAATTTATTACACCACTTGCGTATAAACTTGCATTGTAATTATAGCATGGTACATACATTACTCAACTGTTTTAAGTTACAGTACAACCTCTCTCCAGTTAATGTACTTGAAGCCCCAACGAAATATCAGCTGTTGTAATGCATGTTTCATTAACGTTCCACTAATTAATGATGCACACTAGTGGATCACGAGCGAGGGGTGTGAGGTGGCTGAACCTCAATGCAAAATCTTAACATTTCAAACCCTGTATCCCTTAAATGCTCAATACTAGTGAGCCATGTTTCAGAATAACATGTAATCAATATCTATAACTGTGTACAGTACACGTACTGTATTTATATTTTCTTTACACCAATTTTTTTCCCACACGCGATAATGGCACATTTAGGAGCAGGTCCGCTCGTTCAATGCTGCACCGCCATTTCATATTTGACGGGGGGGAAAATCGCTGATACTGGGCCACATTTTATCATCCAAACCTCCTGGTAATAGTTTTAGGTGTATAAAAAAACTGTTTGCGATGTTTAACGTGCAGTTGGCCGGGCTTTAAACCAGCATCGTACTGCTTGTAAGGCAGTAAAATGGTCTTCTAGATGACCCAGTGATCTCGATTAAGGAGACTTTTGCAAAATATGTGGTGGGAAGGCCACCTTTTAGCAGCGGTTCGACGACTCAATTTGATATCCACGTCCTTTATTTAACCAGGTGAGACCACGTGAAAATCACAATAGTTTATTGTCCTATAGTATAACCAAGTAAAGCCCCACTGTTGATGCGTTATATCATGTCGGAAAATAACACATATACAGTACACAGGTTATAAAGTGTAAACGTATTGATGCATAAGCATGGGTTTTCTTGCTAAAATATCGGACAATAAATCCGTAAAATATTTTTGTTCTTTCTGAAAAATAATGTACGATAAATTATTGGCGCATAAGTGTTTTTTTTCCTGGCATCATTGCCATATGTAACATACAGTATGTATATACCTGGGACTGAACGTAGCACTATCTTCTTGCAGGAGACTATAAGGCTGACGTGCAGTAGCCACGTGAATATGTGCTACGCGATGACGCGCTAGTGCACCGCTACTTAGCAACGCTGCTCTGAAGTGCATGTGCCGAGTCTGTTAGAGGTCCAAGCCCGCGGGACACGTACTATCATTGCTGACTGTGCAAGACGTAAATCACAGATGAATAGAATGAAGGTACCTTTTACAACGGTGTTCTTCACTAATGTTAAGAGGGGGTGCCACTTTCGCCGATAAGAAATCATCAGTGTGAGGGCCGCCACACATTTGAAGCCATTGGGGTTTAACAGCAGCACGATGATGATGATAATGGGGGTGGGGGGGTGTTTTCACATTTTGTGTGTTTTCATATTTTGTGTGCTATCGGGTGCTGCACTAAAGGCCGCCAGTGGCCCGCTGGCCTTGCAATGAAGAACATTAATATACATTTTTGAGGGTTCTGTTGATGCCTGTTTCGCTGAGAACTAAACTGACATCTGTAAAATAAAATTGGGTTGATCGTTGTTAATTCCCAGGGATCGGAGAATTGTTTTTCTTCAGTGGTACATTTTTATATACGCTATATAAATATATACGCTATATAAATATACCCGTTATCCAGAAAAGCTACCACACAGAGTCTTGGGACTACTGTTCTAATATTTTCTTGTTTCGTATAGGAATATCCCCATATGTATATTATGAATGCATTATTATAATAATCTTAGTACCTTTTCGCAGCAAACCATGGTTATTTAAGCAGAAATCTAAAATTGCAAACATTCATTTTATATATACTACAATCAGGGTTATAATTCTGTTAAAGTTATCATGCTGATTTCTCCCGTTATCTAATTCAGGTCGGCATCCGATCCGATTTCATTTCTGGATCCTGCTGACTGTCCGCTAATATCCACACCCAATCCGGACTCGAATTTGGTTGCAACTCCATTCTTGTTTCGCACGTTCGGAGGCAGCATTTCTTAACCACACATTTTCTTCAGCTCTTAATTACATTCTCTACGCCATCCCATTGCCCACCCGGCTTCAATGTTGATAAGAGACGCATTTAATTTCACGAACCGTTTCGTATGTTGCTGAGCGCCAAACGTCGCTGTCTGGATGAGCAGTGTCGCGGGATGCAGGACCGTAAACGTAATCTCGTGCAATGATTCCCTTGCCGTTGTCGTGCGTTCACCATGTGAAAAAGAGTTGGTATATTTTAAATGCTTAATTACACGAAACGCAATGTTCAAGATTTAAAACGATGTCGACTTGGCTTCGCTTTAGAACTGTTGTGTGGAGGATGCAGTGTTGCCCTAACATTTGCTTGATTAACGTGAATAAAAAAAACCCCACCGTGTCTCAGGGACTCTGTCGCTGCTGACTCACGTCAGGCATGTCACAGCTAAGTAATGTGGCCCACCGAAATTGAGGTTTTAATCGTGTTGGTCGTTTTCTCCGTGTGTGTTTCTGTGCCCTCTGTTCATTTGCTCATGCAGGCAAAAGCAAAGAAGCCGAGATTAAGAGGATTAATAAGGAGCTTGCTAATATTCGCTCCAAATTCAAAGGTGAGTTTCGTCACTTTCCTAAGACCCTCCCTGGCGTTGCTGCTGATCTGTATAAAATCTTTACAAATTGGCGATAACTCCCAACAATTTTGTAAGTCAAGTTAAATGGCGTCACCTTGATCCTTCGGTGTGTCATTGGTGAGCCAGCACAGGCAAAAGAGCTTACTAACGAGGAAGAAGGGCTTTATTTGCAAATTATTCACGAGAAAAACCAGAGGACTTGGAGAAAAACCATGAGACCAGGGAACGTGAACTCTGTAAGACGTTAACTGCATCTCTTTAATGTGTCTGCAAACTCTGCCGCCTTATCTCCTCCAAGCCTTCCAATTGTAATCGCTTAAAGACTCTGCTAATTACAAGTCTGCCTCGTCAAATCTGTAGACAACATACAAAAAGGCCGCCGCAAGATTTGTAGTCCTCACTCCACCAAAATGTTTTATTAGTCCCCACAATCATACCATCACTCATAACGTGGTGAGCATGATATGATATGAGCACGGTTGGCTGTGCACGATGCGAAATACGTGAATCATACATTCCTACACGCAGCGTGGCCATTGGTGTATTATGACGTGTGTATGCTGCCTACTGCATTCCCTCGGCGTCTGTGAGGTTTCCCGACTCGGCTCGGGTAGAGAAGCTATGAGGTTTGATTTTAAAAGTTTCCAAGGTGGTATTTCTATCAAAATGTACGTGGGGATGGCTGTCGAAGTGACGTCAAACTGTTGCTTCACATCGCATCAGTAAGGTGCCATGACGCAATACTATTTTGGATTGGTAACGTGCAAAGGTGTGCTGCTCGCAAGCAGCAGGGAGGCGCAACTCCTGTCGTGCCTTGCGTCCATGTAACGTGCAGTGCGACTCGGTGACATCGCACGAACAACGCTCTGAAGCTTGTCTGCGCTCCCTTGCTCGGTAGCTTAATTTGTGTTTATTGTTTAAGCCATCAACTCAAAACAACCTAGTTTTTTAAGTGTGGCCATCTTAACAGGCAGAAGTCTTTGTTTTCTTCTTCCGTATGGCTGCTGATATAGTTGCAGAGCAACAACTACTACAATCTCACATTTTTAAGTGGACAAGCCAGATAACCGCATTTGGAGCAGCGGAATGTTATCGCTGTGATGTCCCCTTCCTATTTGTGGATCGGGCATTTCATCGTTATATACGTTGTACTGTCTGTTCTGGATGACCACAGTCACACACTACTGGAGAGTTTTTAACTTTCCATTTGTGCATCAGGCATCTGCATATGCCATGGTTTGTGCATTGAATGCAATTTAGGCTGGACCGTGAGCTTCGTAGAAGACCAAACCCAGTGATATTCTGCTCTGGGTCTTTCACAAGGTGTTTGTTTGCGAGTTCATTTGAACTCCATTCAGCTCTCCAAGCTTCATCGGGGTTGAATTCACATTTTTTAAGGTTAAGCGCATTGGTACAAAAGGGCCTTACGTGACTTTAAGCGATGACGAGGGATGTTATTGAGGCGCTGATGATGGGACGGGCAGCAGTGAAACGGAGACAGCTGTAGACCAGTTTCATCATCATTAGGCCTCGTCAGTAGGGTCGGCATTGTTGACTGCTGCCCTATGGCCTGCGAGCGTATATAATCAGAGGGCTTATCTTTACACTTTGGGGACCCCGACCCCCCCTCCCCTCCCTCAGCACAAATCCAAAGCTTTCTATAAATTAATATAAAACCCCATCACAACAGGAACGTGCGTGTGGACTGGAAACAAATATAAATAACAACACAAATGGATGCTGACAAAACAGCAGGAAGGCACTCCCATCATGCCTTGCATGCATGTCACGAGACCACCACATTGCATATACAATGCTGTGAGCCTTGCCTCTAAACCACCAGACTTTGATATATCGCTCGTAACTGCTTTTTTCTCATTTAATTAAGCTTCATGCACACGTCTGGCAGCCTGGAACACAAGGCTTTTAACTATCTTGCTTTGAAGCTTTCGTGACTGCAGGAATCCATACTCTTTGGTTCTTTCGGTAAAGTCACATAGGTATAAAATAAATAAAATGCTTTTAACTATGTTAGTCCAAAACGATATCTAAATTAAGCACTTTTTTTCTGGAGACAGGTTAATTGCAAGAGAAAATGCATGCAGACCAGAAACAATTGATAATTGTTTTAACAACGAAGTGTCTTTAAACAGCAAAAATATTTTGTAATCCCAGTATATTTTGCTTATCCAAGCTGACACCATAACATTTTTGTTGTATTCTACACTCAGCCTTGTGACAGCCATCAGCTCACAATAGATGAGGTGGTGGCAATGGTGTATTTATTATGGATCTTCAGTACCTTATAGCCATAATTGCCTCCTGTTATTTGTGCCCAGGGGGGTGATGTATATATTAACCAGTCCTCCACTGCAGACATTCGGCATGGCCTAAGGGGCGAGAACCTAAATGAATTCGTAATTTGTTCTCAGCCTGTCAACATTTTTGTCTGGAACTTGGAAGTGTGCCTCTTCAGCGGAGAGAAAAGTTCATAAAAAGAAAACACATTGTGCTTTGCCCCCAATTTTTTAAGCTTTTCGAAAGCTGGAAAAACAACAAGAAAGTATCTCGTGCACCAGTGGCAGGAAAGCATGCAAGGATTCATGTCAATTTTGTTGGTGACATCTGTTATGCTTAATACAAAACCATATTAACAATGTATTATAGCTGCCTTTGAAATATCTTTCCTGTCCTCCATATCTGTTACTCTTCGCACACTTCCTTCATAATTCCATGCGAATACTCGGAAGCAACCTTTCGGCACGGCAGTTCACCATCCACGTCAGTTAGTTGCGAGTTTGACTCCATGCTTTCGGTGTGGCTTTTTACCGTCGTGTTAGTTGTGAGTTTCATCCGGAAGGTTCAGTTTTGGTTCACTATACCTAGGCTTGTTCAAATTCTGAGCGATTGAAATCGGATCATGTGCCGCAGCTGGATGGATCGTTGCGTAGTGGGACTGTAAAGGATACACGACAGCCGCTTTGGGTGAGTCCTTCTCCAGCAGTGGATCGATGGTGGCTAGTGAAGATGATGAGTGTACCATCTGCCAGCGTACTGCAGCTATACGGATTGAAATACTAACGGCAAAGAAATTGGAACAAAAGCTGAAAAGTTTACGTGCAAAAGCATTGATAAATTATTGGTCAGAATTGAACTTCTACTTCCGTATGGCTGCTGATGTTAGATGCAGAGCAACAACTACGATTTCACATTCAGGTGGTCAAGCCCAGACAACCGCGCCAGGAGCAGTGGAGAAGTATATCGCTGTGGTGATGTCTCCCTCGTATTTGTGGATCGGAGTGGGGGGCTGAGCGGAGCGCATGGATTATTGGGGAACCAAATGTAAATCGGCAACGTCATTGTCAAGAGACGCACATGGGCTTGGAAAAGAGTTATTGGTCACGGGCTACCTGATGTTTAGGTGTGACAGGCACGGACGTCGTGAGGTGCTGCGTTCACCAAGTGGGAGTCCTGTTATTCTGGTTGTTACAGCGGCGGCCTCTTGGCGTTTGTTTATGGATTCCAATGTGCGAAGGGGAAAACTAAACGTGTAATACTGACACGGTCCTGCGGCCTGGTTGCCGAGATGTGAATCTGCGCGGTTGTATTTATCAACTGCTGCATATCTCTACGTCGGTATTCTGTAACCTAATTAAACAACACCGTACAGTTTTTGGGGTTGCATCTTTAAGTTTAAGCGATGTGTTTTTTAGGTTGTTACAGTGTTCGAGACTGACAAAACAAGTTGGGGGGTTTAAAATTATACTTGAAGATTTGATGGGTTAAACAACAGTCCAGAGCTGTTTTCATACCAACCTTGTGTATATATACGCAAAACACATCTTGAGCAGGTGACCAAGGAGAGACGAGAGCTCTGATTTTGGTGGCAAGGAATGCGGGTTTGGACGCTCAATGCATTTCCTGCAAAAGCAGCAAGTTACTTGGGCTTGCGTCACAACCTGCAGCAATGTCAGCATCACTCTTCCTGCATAATTGGGAAGTGGTGTTTTTATTATTTTAGCCGCTCTGTGTTTTGCACGACCATGTACTAAGAAAGTATGTTGCACAATGCCTTTCCAGCTCGTTAAAAAAAAGTGGCCGGGTGACTCGGAAGATAGAGCGCTGAGCTGGCACCTCCTAATATCCTGGGTTTCAATCCAGGAGACTGCCTGTAATGTTGTTTGTATAAAGGTGTCAGTTTTTGTGCCAGATAAAAAGGGTAAAAACCTATTACTATGCCTGTAATGTTGTTTATTGTGCCCCTGATAACCAGTCTTCACACAAAAAAACCTAATAAAATGTGGTTTAGCATTTAATTAATCTAAATTCCAGCTTCTATTATGCGATGAACACTACTCTCTGTAACATACTGGGTTGGATAGTGCTGCCCCCTCATAAGTAAGAGATCACGTAAAGAGCATTCGGAAGCAGTTCTGTGATACCTCCTTCCGTGGACCGTTATCTAACACGGGGTGATACTCTCATCTGCGAGAGTTCTGATTTGTGTTCTTCGCCTTCATGGTGCCGTTTGTTGCTGGCCGCTTGACATTATGTTGCCTTTGGACCTGTGTTTGGCAACTCTTTTTAAACATTCTGGCGAATTGCCCGATGATGCTGGATGTAGTTACCAGCGAAACGTCGTACTCAAACTGTAAATGTTGTGGATTCACTCTTCAACACACCGGTGGGCTAAAATAGTGAATTATTTGTCTTTTGTCAACGTGACACTTTTTTTGCTGATTGGCCGTGTCGGGTGGAGGGTTACAACAAATTTATAAATAATGCGATCTAACCCAAAAACCTTTATTATGAAATATATATGTACACTTGACCACATAGGAAAACTGCATCCTATGTGTTTTCATGCGTGTCCATTCCTATATATCCGTGCGCTTGTAGGTGACAAGGCGTTGGATGGATACAGCAAGAAGAAGTATGTGTGCAAGCTGCTGTTTATTTTTCTTCTGGGCCATGACATTGACTTCGGGCACATGGAGGCTGTCAATCTGCTCAGCTCCAACAAATACACTGAAAAACAAATTGTAAGTAGCATTTACGCACACAGTAGCGGCCCTGCCCCAATCTCGATGGCCTTGCCATCGTGAGCGGGATTCCAGTTCCAGCTTAATCATGCCCGACGGTGGCTAGGAACGTTTGTCCCTTGATAACATTTTCGCCACTGTTTTTGGTCTTGAGCGGAAATCGAGCGCAGGTCGCCGGGTTCGTAGAGCGATGCGCCAAGCACTACACCCATGCTTAACACACATACACGTGAATGCGTGGGACTTCATGCCTCTGCTCAACAGCAGGTGTCGGGAGCATTATCGTCGTAAAGATCATCGGCAGATACAGCGGTACCGTTAGAATCATCGCTCTGACGCTGTGGGAACACGCAGCTGTTGGACGCGCAAGCAGCCGAAACTACCCAATATCCGTCATTTAAAAATGTCTTTCAACGTGACTTTTCACAGATTATTGCAATACTTTGAACATATTTTTACAGCCCTACAGTAATATGTACACACGTTAATGCGTGCACCCACACACGCGCGGTTTCTTAGACATGCTTACCAGGATGTACACATGTACGGTAAGTTCTCGCTTAACACTTTTGCATAACGGGAACGCGTATCATTATAATGTGAAATTTTGCCCGTTATAATACTGCTTCTGAGCGGTCGATGACGAAGTATTTTCTTTAGCTGTGCGGCTAAACGAAATGATACAGTACGTGGAATGATACAGTACATGGCGGCGTACCCTCATCTCCGTTCTTTGTCCCGCCATGGGATGAGTGCATGCTGAGTTTATCGTGAAAACTTGGTTCATATTTGCATTGCTTTATTCTTTATTCATGCCCTGTAATGTGTAAACATGCAGTGATTTCTCACTTTGCACGATTTTGCTTGACTTGGCGCATCTTTTGCGTCAAGCGGGGGGGGAGTCGCCGCGTAGGCGCGCGTGCCGCGTGTGCGTGCAAACCCTTTGGCTCGTGCCCGCGTGAGGACTTCGCATCTCTTCCTCATTTTCCTGGACAGGGCTACCTGTTCATCTCGGTGCTCGTCAACTCCAACAGCGAGCTGATCAGGCTCATCAGCAATGCCATCCGCAACGACCTGTCGAGCCGCAACCCGATCTTCATCAACCTTGCCCTGCACTGCATCGCCAATGTGGGCAGTCGGGAGATGGCCGAGGCGCTGGCGTCCGAGGTCCCGAAGCTCCTCATCGCTTCGTACGTCCCGCCCTGGTTTTTTTTCATGCTTGCATGTGTGCGTGGCGTTTTTTCGATCGATCGATCTTTATATTACGTGGTCAAAATCACCCGCAATTTAAAGTAGGCGTCGGTGCACATTACACAGCGGAATGGTACGGGGGGGCGGGGGGGGCGGCATATGAAACTTGTCCTGACCTCGGCGGCTAACACAGACCGAGCAAAGTAGATTGCAAGCATGCGCAACGAATAGCGTAAGAAATAAAGGTTGATGAAATAAAAAGTAAATAAGCGTTTTTTCTCCCTTCAATTTTTTGTTTTAATGGGAAGGCAAGTCTGAAGAAGAGTTAGTTTCTATAATCTGTTATTGTTATCATTACGCTTGCTTACCCAGGAAAGCCTCGCCGAGTCCCGCCATGTTGTCGCAGTAGGGAGGCGATGTTGTTGCTCCTGCTGTGTAATCCCAATTGACTAATTTGCAGCATTGGGATGTCTCGAGAGTGCGAGCATATTACGAAACTATTTAAGCTATTTTTGTTTTACCAGGTAAGGCCCACTGAGCTACATAGCTCCTTTTCAGAAGCGACCTCTCCACTAATGATAGCACAACGAGAAGTGGCTTATCACGTGGAAATTTATAGCAGCAGCCAAATACTCTGAACGTGCGATGTCGATTCAAAATGTAGGGGGGAAAACCGCAGGACCCAGAGGATAATCCACGCGACCATGGAGAGAGGACATGAAAATTACAAATATACAGGTGTCAGGGTCGGGATCAAACCTACAGGCGAGGTAGTTAACATCTCTCCACCGTATGGGGCCCTTGAGCTTTAAGAGTGAACAGGAAGCTTGAGGAAAACCATGGCAGAACAAGAGGAGAATTTACAAACTTCACACGGTTTAAGGTGCCCGAGTCCGGGAATCTTAAAATCGTGCCCAGTGCCACCCTGTAGCCCACTGAATCCTAGAGGAGTGATGGTTCAGTGGTTATCGCAGTGTGCAATCCCACTGTCCCAGGATTGTGATCCTATTATATTTTTGCGCATGATGGCACCAATAAGTTCAGCAGCTAAATGCCAACATCGGGGTGTGCTAGCCACGACGAGAGGGTTTCAGGAGGCGCGCAGATTTTCAGTGGTTGACTCTGTGGTTTTAAAGTTGATGGCAACGCAACGTGCACGCGTGTGTTTATTTTGCGCGTACGGCGGTGTGAAACAGAGACACAATGGACAGCGTGAAGCAGAGCGCCGCACTGTGCTTGCTGCGGCTTTACCGCACCTCGCCGGATGTGATCCCCGTGGGAGACTGGACATCGCGGGTTATCCACCTGTTAAACGACCAGCACATGGTACTAAACCCAGGCTCGCCCTCCTTCTCACGCTGATGCACACCACAGACATTATATTTTTGTGTACGCGTTTGAAAAATGTAATTTTGTTTGTGTGGATACTGCCTGCCATGATGATGCTGATAATGTTTATGTGATTTGGTGACTGATAGATGGGGTATGCTTGGGGGGGGGGGGGGGGGGGGGCTACCTTATCTAGAGGTGCCTGTATATTTTTTTTGGAGCTTGCAAGTTCTCCTCGTGGTTGCGTGGATTTTTCTCCCGGTCCTCCAGTTTTTCCCTCCACATTTAGAAACATGCCTTTTGGAATATTTAGCCACAATACATTTCCACATGATAAGCCACTTCGTTGGGCTTTCATTTGTGGCCAGGTCGCTTATGAAAAAGAGCTATGTAGCTCAGAGGGCTTTACTTGGTAAAATAAATGCATGTTTCTAAATGTGGAGGAAAGAGCCAGAGGACCTGGAGAAAAATCCACGCGACCACAGGGAGACAGAGCACTCAAACTCCAAAAATACAGCCATCATCAGGGTCGAGATTGAACCCACGACCTCCTGTATCCCAGGCGAGGTAGTTACGTGGGCTTGACAGAGTGCGACAACTATTGCTATTTGTTCAATGCGCAACACTTTTTTAATGTTGTTTCTCTTCAGGGGGTGGTGACCGCAGCCACGAGTCTCATAACAGCGCTGGCCCAGAAGAACCCAGAGGAGTACAAGGGCAGCGTCTCGCTCGCCGTCTCACGGCTCAGCAGGGTACGTGTGCACACCCTTTGCCCCCGTGTCTCCCCCTCAGCCGTTGTCCTCGCTCAAAAACACGAGCGCGAGTGCAGAAACGACGTGTGGCTGCCCATGTGCGATTCGTGCAAAACCCCACCATGTCGTTATGATCTTGACTTGGTGCCCTCCGAAACCTTGCCCCGGGCCTAAATATTAGTACAATGGTGTGGTTGGTTGCAAGCGAGCATTGTTATTGGCGGGACAAAAGTGGCGAACGTGTGTCGTGCTGCCATACAGCATTGCCACTACAATCAATAAATACCATGTGGGTGCACCGTGGTGTAGCGATCAATGTACTTTACTACAACGCTAATGGCAATTGGTATTTCAAATTACTATAGTCTTTCCTACGTCGGCTCCACTTTAAACTCTTAATTTCTTGGTGTAGTGTCATTGTTAATAAACAATTCACAGCCCTTTGCCAGTTCACTGATGGATGAAGGCTTCTCTGTTTTACGTTAGTTGTGGGGCTTGTTTTAGCATACTTCGCCACTCAGGCCATTGCGGGTTGATGAAGGCTAGCCAGAGGTGGGGGGGATGTGGGAGCGCCCCCCTCCCCCCCCCAACCGGTGGAGGGGGGAGCAGTGGGTGGTAATGAGGACCGGTTTATATACCACTCAGCACTCGTATAAGCAGTGAGCAGGAATCGAACTCGGGTCGCCAGGTTCAGAGTACAAGTGTGATAACCTCTCTGCCGCCTGTGTCTTCTCCGTGTCGTTATTAGCACTGGGGGAAGCAGTTTTACAGGGGGAGTTAATGTGTGTTTGGCATTTGTTGTCGGGTGCTTGTTACTGCGGTTGGCTGAGTAAAGTTGGTTGTATTTGTCTGCGAGTGAGTGTTTTGCAATACTGTCGTCAGCGTGTACACCACACTATGATCTTGCAAATCCTGCGATCAGTTGCTGGTCACGCATCCCCGATTGCCAATTGATAGATTAACCTGGCATGTATCCTGCTGTAACTTAAAATAAATAATACAGATGGTTTTGTGATGTGGTCAGGAACATGTCATTTATGCATTCGGAGGCGCTAAACTAAACTTTTTTTATTTTACCGGTCAAGGCCCACTGAGCTATTTCGCTCTTTTTTCAGAAGCCACCTGGCCACAAATAATAGCTCAACGAGGTGACTTATCACGTGGAAATTTATTACAGCTCATACTCTAAATGCATGTTTCTGAATGTGGAGGGAAAAACCCGAGGACCCGGAGAAAAATACATGCAACCACAGTGAGAGAGAGACACGAAAACTCCAAATATACAGGAAGTCAGGGCCGGGATCAAACTCACGACCAGGCGAGATAGTTAACATTGCCACTGTGATGTTATGGTTGTGTTGTGCTGTTATGCATTGCCACACACGTTACCCTAGGCCATGGAGGCCTTGAATAATAACTTACTATTTATAACACTTGCTTTTATAGTCTGTCCAGAAAAGTGACAGCCTCTGTGTGTGTGTGTGGCATGGTGGGTGGAGCAGATCGTGACATCCTCTTACACAGATCTGCAGGACTACACCTACTATTTTGTGCCAGCGCCGTGGCTCTCTGTGAAGCTTCTGCGCCTGCTGCAGTGCTACCCACCACCCGGTACGTCGGTCACTTTGGATCGTTACGCCGCGGTGTTGCCCACGGGTGACGCGTCGCTCCCATAACACGCGTGACACGAGCGTTATCCCCGGAGAAGCGTAATTCGTGAGTTGATTTTTTTTGCGCTTGCGAAGAGCGTTTACATTCGACAAATTGATTTGCTTGGCAATTTGTGGGGTGGTGGAGGGCCTTGTGGGACAAAGTTGGCCACATCGTTACGTGGCTTATCGCTATTTTTATTTATTTATGAATGGCAGCGAGCCGTCTGCCAGTGCAGCATGGTTCTCCAAATCACACATTGTCACGGTGAATATTATGTCGCAATTAGCCAATAAGTATGTCATGCATGATGCTTTCAGTACATTACGTTTGCCTGACATGGTAATTCATTTAGTGCGGGCTGGTACGTCCCAGTGCCCCACGGTATGACACAGCGAGACATGTCTCCTTATTCTTTACAGTGCCATTCTGCCTCACGGTATCTAATCGATGCCTTCGTAGTTCATCATTAACACTTTTGTTGTGCACTCCTATTCATGTGTACTTGGCTGTGCACGCACACACGCACACCCACGTGTGCGCCTGCATTCTCCCCTGTGTGCCCGCCTACTGCGTTCGCCTGTGCTGCATGACAGAGGACCCGGCAGTGCGCGGGCGTCTGAGCGAGTGCCTGGAGAACATCCTAAACAAGGCGCAGGAGCCGCCGAAGTCGAAGAAAGTGCAGCATTCCAATGCCAAGAACGCCGTGCTCTTTGAAGCCATCAACCTCATCATTCATCACGACAGGTGTGGGCCCCCTTCCTCCTCCCCTCTTGTCAACGTGGCCAATCGGGTGGGGCCCAGGTTTTGCTCAGTTTTATGATGGCAGCGTCTTGATTGATTTACTCCACACCCATGGGTCTCCGTGGCAAACATGGCGTTCTATTTACGCTTCGTTGAGCTGACATTTGAGATGGCGAGGTCACTTCTGAAAAACAACTAATAGCTCAATGGGCTTTACCTGGTAAAATTATAGTAGGTTTTTTTAGTTTTTGTGATTTGCTTACCTTTCCTTTTTATTTTGGACTTTTTGTTTGTCATTGTAACGTTCTGACCCACCTTACCAGACATCTGTGAAAAAGAGCTTCCATAGCTCATCGGATTTCTCCAGGATAAATATTCTGATTCTATTTTAACGGGTGGTTGCATTATTGCACAACATATCATATCTGCATTATTTCACTATGAGGGTGTTGGGATTATGATGATGATGACGACGATGATGACAGTGATGCGGCTACTGATGAGGATGATTACGGTACTGTGATAACCGGTGTAATTAGCGGCCTCTCTCTCTGTTCCCCTCCGCTCCAGCGAACCAAATTTGCTGGTGCGCGCGTGCAACCAACTCGGCCAGTTCCTCCAGCACCGTGAGACGAACCTGCGTTACTTGGCCCTGGAAAGCATGTGCCTGCTGGCATCGTCGGAGTTCTCGCACGAGGCTGTCAAGAAGCACCAGGAAACCGTCATCAATGCCCTCAAGGTACATGCTTGCTCCTCCATCATCGTGCTGCCGTTACAAATAATCTGTGCCTTGAGTTTCCTGGCCTGGGTGCTAGGCTGGGCTCCTCTCCACCACTGGCCACTAAGGGTGCCGCGGTGGTGAATGTTAACTACTTCGCCTGGTATACAGGAGGTTGTGGGTTCGATCCCGACCCTGACACCTGAGGTATATTTGGAGTTTGCGTGTGTCTCTCCCCGTGGTCACGTCCGGGTCCTCCGGTTTTTCCCTCCACATTTAGAATTGACATGCGTTTAGAGCAGTGGTTCTTAACCTGGGGTGCACGCCACCCCCTTGGGGTGCGAGATGCCCTTTTTGAGAACCAACGTGGTGCAGGCTGTAGTAAAGGTTATAAGAACCTCTGGTGTAGAGTATTTGACTGCTATAAAAATCCATGTGATAAGCAACTTCATTGGGCTATCATTTGTGGTCAGGTCGCTTCTGCAAAAGGGCTATATAGCTCAGTGAGTCTTACCTGGTAAAAAAAAATTGTTTCAAAAATAATAATTAATGTTAGTGACTGCTGCGAACTGGTGCCAGCAAAAAAACTCATCGGTTAACTGGCTGCGCGCGTTTTCCCGTGTAACAATCCAATGAGTTGCGTGGCGGAAAAATTTCGGAAGACTTATAATAGCTAGCGAAAATGATGAGGTGGAAATAACGAATACAGAAGACTGACCACACGGCTAATTTAAAATTGCTCTAACTTTTCAATTTGTGCTCCTCATGAATGTAATTGCTTCGCTAGAATATTCTTAAAATTTGAGAGAATATAAAAAAAGCCTCGCCAATCCAAATTAAATTGCTCTATCTTTTCAATTTGTGCTCCTCATGAATGTAATTGCTTCGCTAGAATATTCTTAAAATTTGAGAGAATATAAAAAAAAGCCTCGCCAATCCAAATTATCTTGTACACCGGTCCGTACTTGTCTTGAAATCAATGCCGATACACAGGGTCAGTGCTACACCTGTCAAAAACAGACCCCCCCCCCTCCCCACCATTGACTTGTCTAGTCAAGAGTAATGGTCACTGCTCAGTTTAAGATAAATTAACCGAAACGATAGATCGGTTTACTGCTTAATTCCTTTAAATTAAAAGAGAAAACTGCTGACTTTGTTGTGTTCCACATTAAATAAAAAATATTGTACCTTCTCTCACTTCTCTTACATGTAAAATCAAATCTCCGCAATGCCCCTTTGCTGCCCTGCGTGGTGATGGAGCAGACCGAGAGGGATGTGAGCGTTCGCCAGCGAGCCGTGGACCTGCTCTACGCCATGTGCGACCGTAGCAATGCACAGGAGATCACCTCCGAAATGCTCAACTATCTGGAGACAGCCGACTACTCGATCCGGGAGGAGATGGTGTGTAAAAACGAATTTGTGTCCGTGTACTTATCTGCTCCGTCGCTCACTCTCATATGTGGTCAGGTCGCTTCTGAATAATAAGTTAATACCTCAGTTGGCTTTACTGTTAGGATGGTTTAGTTGTATTGGTATGTGTTGGGGTGATTTTGTTTACCTCTCTTGTACTCTCCACTACTATTGTTCTTATCCGCCCCTACTGGACATCACAATCAGATTCTATAAATACAGGTTCTGATTTATATATTTTGGGTGACGACAGGGCCCAAAATAAAGTGTTTTAAAGGAACTAAAATGTATTAACTTTTTCAGTGTGTAAATACATTATTGGGTAATGTAGTATTTCTTTCGGTAAAGTCATGTAGGTATAAAATAAATGTATACCTACGTATGTATCCCTGCAGTCGCGAAAACTTCCTGTAAGTGACCGTTAACATCTTATGCACTTTTTTCCCCGGTGCCACCAGAATTTGGACAGCATTTGCCCTCTACTAATTTTATAAGAAATAAGAGCCTGTATTCCGTGCATTAACACCAGCATTCTGACACACGTCGCCCAACGTGAAGGGGTGCTTGCCCACACCTCAAGTGTTGTGCACACGGTGGCTAGGAGATGTTAACTACCTCGCCTGGTACACAGGAGGCTGTGGGTTCGATTCCGACCTTGACGCCTGCTGTATATTTGGAGTTTGCATGTTCTTCTCGTGGTCGTATGGATTTTTCTCCAGGTCCTCCGGTTTTTCTCTCCGCATTTAGAAACGTGCGTTCAGAGTATTTGGCTGCGATAAATTTCCACGCGATAAGCCACTTCGTTGGGCTATCATTTGTGGCCAGGTCGCTTCTGAAAGAGCTACGTAGCTCAGTGAGCCTTATCTGGTAATATAAAGAATAGTTTTGTTCATAGTTTTTTCGTAATAAGACGCTGGTCGGCATATACTTATGCCAGCAGTCCCGTGTAAACTATTCGCTTTGTTTTAAGTGGTATCATTAAGGTTTTCATTAGGGCCAAGTCGGTGTAAATTACAACTCGACCGGTCTAACGTGTTACCCTTGTATAGACACTGCTCGTTTGTCATTGCCTGCTTCCAGTTGTCTTTGAGGATTGTGCTGCGTTATCTCAGTGGTAAGGAGATGAATCTACGCTTGCACATCGATTCACTTTAACCAAAACCAGTACGAGCCTGAGTCGTACTCTACCGCGGCTGCAAGCTTGCAGAGTACAGGGCGGGCGACGTGTATTGTCGATGGTTGTAATTGAGATAACATTCGCACTAATGATGAGGACTGTCATGTTAATTGTAATCATTGTAGCAGTGGCTGTTGTATTGGTCACCAGTGTGGGTGATGATGGTGGTTATGCTGGTGTTTAGGAGGAGTTGAACAATCTGTGATGTAAAAGAAAATCTACGCATTTATCAGTGTTAATTTTTCTTGCTTCTGCACCACTGCCCGAAGCAAGAATAATTTTCTTGATGATTGTCGTGGTGGTAACGATAATATTGGCTTAAATGCCAATGTAGAGGTCTGCTGCCTACGACAAGAGGGCTTCGGGGAGAGAGTTGGTGTGGCTTTGCTGTTCCTGATGCTTCATTCACGATGGTGACGAAAACAAAGCCTTTGCCAACGATGGGTGGCGGCTATCGTGTGACCCCCGCCTCCCCGCGTGCAGGTGCTGAAGGTGGCGATCTTGGCGGAGCGGTACGCGGTGGATTACACGTGGTACGTGGACACCATACTCAACCTCATCCGCATCGCAGGCGACTACGTGAGCGAAGAAGTGTGGTACCGCGTCATCCAGATCGTCACGAACCGCGACGACGTGCAGGGCTACGCGGCCAAGACCGTCTTTGAGGTACCCGCTCGTTTCCCAGGAAGTCAGGATAACCGTGTCATCTGACTGGCTCTTTTTTAAATTTTTAAACAGCTGTCATGACCTTGCCAAAATGACCAGCTAGAATTGCACGAGATATTAACAGTCACTACAAATTATTGTTTTTGTGTGTGTTTAGTTTTTTTTGCTTCCCCCGCACCTCCCATTAGCATGGTTGGCTACGTACGGTGCGAAAGAAGTTCTACTTGCATACATATTATTTTGTAATTTTATTCTAATTCATCTGGACCAATGAGTAACATAACATGAGAGATATCGGGTTTTCATTTTGGTCCAAGTAATGACTTTCCTTCAGAATGAGTTGTTGATTGGAAAATAAATTGCTATATTTATGTAGAAGCTCTTCTTGTCCACAAAGATATGGGAGAACCGATCTCAGATAAGAGAGCGAAGAAATAAACTCTGTTGTGCCTTGGGCTTACTAAATCATTAATGGCCCGGGTAACCTCGAGTTATGCTTTTTTTGTTATCAGTCCATTATAAAAATAATTATTGACAAGCCTTTTTATTGTTCGTGAGATGAATGCAATTAGAGTCCAGCTTAGGGCTTTATAGTCTGTACATGCTGTTTTTATAAGTATTAAATTGGGCTCATTTTTGAGTGTGCAGCTCTGAGCAAGTGGTGCATGTGTTGTGGACTCTGTGTGTGTGTGTACAGGCACTGCAGGCCCCAGCATGCCATGAAAACATGGTCAAGGTGGGTGGTTACATCTTGGGAGAATTCGGAAATCTCATCGCTGGAGACCCTCGCTCCAGGTGTGTGTGTCCTTGTGTACACCTTTTTTTTTTCTGGATTAGATCGATGTGGGCTGCTCTCGTCAGGGAGCATAAACCATCGCGTGAACACCGGTCACCCTCGCAGCGGATTTTAGCGAGCCATCGTACAAAGACGGTCAGCGCATCGTGCAGTTTTTAGATGCGGTTCTGCGGCCATCTGGGACGCTCTTCTGATATTAGGAAGCCACTGGAGCTATGCACTTCTAAATCTAGATTTAAAAGTAATTTCTTCAAAAATGCTTGGTGTGTTTAGTTTTTTGTCCTTCCCCTACACCTCCGATTCGCGCAGTTGACTACGTATGGTGCGAAATAAGTTCTACATACATGTTCTTACAATCATAGCTAAAGGAGTTTATAAGCGATATTGTATAAACCAAAACGTACCACAGGAAAGGACTTGTGAGCAACTCGCCTCTTTGCTTTTTTTTTTAAGTGGTCAAGAAAATCCGGAATGGAATTCTGTCTGACTCTGCTCCTCGTATCGCCTGTCCTCTGTGTCCCCCACCACCCACCCTTGACATGTGTCACAGCCTGTCACAATGAACAACATCGCGACAACTTGTAAACGTACTCGTCTGTCCTCGATCCTTTACCCCACCATACCCATCCCTCGCTGCCTTACCCGCCCTGGCCCCCTATACATGACCAGCTTCATCAGTGCCTCTGTCTAACTGGTAACATCCCCACAGCTCTCAAGGCTGCTGCTATTACTCCATCCTACAAATTCACATTTTGGTCTCAATTTATTTTCTCTGATCCCTCCAAAATAATGTCCCCCCCCCCCCCGTGGTCTGGATGACCCAGTACAATGTGGTTTTCCGCCAAAGCCATTCTTTTGAAAGTGCTCTCCAACATTCGGTTAATGACTTTAGTCACCCTTCAGACAATGGGTCGCTATCAGCGCTGCTTCTCCTAGGCCTCTGGTGCTTTTGACGCAGTAGGCCACTCCATCCACTCGCTCCTCTTTTGTGCACTTCCGTAATATTTAGGGGACTCCGTCACACTTCCCTTCTGGTTTCCTATTTACCTTCCAAAACAGCTGCTATGTTTCCATGCAGGGACCATCTTCCTGTCAGACACACCTGTGTGTGCAACGGTGTCTCACACAGCGCCATCCTCAGCTCCTTGCTCTTCTCAATATACTCACTCTCCTGCTTGGCTATATCATACGTGAGCCATTACTCCTCTGCTGAAGGCACCCAGCTATAGCTCGCTATTGACTCCATAAACTCAGCTTCACTGTCCACTCATAGTTTATTTATTTATCATAACTTTGAAACAACTGGATTCCATCTGTTTCTAACAGAATCTGCTCTGTTCGTCCCATAACCAGTCCGAGAATCTTCAACACTCTTAAAGTGGCCTTACCAGCATTCATGTTGGCGCCGTGTAAGTGTGCTTGTGATGTTTGTGTTTCGATTTTTTTTTTACGTTCGTTTACCTGTATACATGGCCAAGTCTTGAGTTTGTCTCTGAACCGCATCGGACTGAACCTTGAGCGAATTCTGTCGTGTGCGTGTGTTTGTGGGTGCCTGCGTGTGCAGCCCCCTCGTGCAGTTCAACCTGCTGCACTCCAAGTTCCACCTGTGCAGCGTATCGACGCGCGCGCTGCTGCTCAGCACGTACATCAAGTTCGTGAACCTCTTCCCCGAGATCAAGCCCACCATCCAGGAGGTGCTGCGTTCGGGGAACCAGCTCCGCAACGCCGACGCCGAACTGCAGCAGCGAGCGGTCGAGTACCTCAAGCTGAGCACCGTCGCCACCACCGACGTGCTGGTTCGACCGCCCACCCCCACCCGCTGCATGCCACCGACGAAACGGCATCGCCGTCGTCGTCATCTTCGCCGCCACCGCCTTCATCGCTCGGCAGCAAAACACGACTGACACTTGCCACCGGCAGCATAGGAAACACACAGTTGTTAACATCCACGATGATGTAGCAGTCAAAAGTCAGTGTGTTTTTGTGCTCAAATAAGCATTGAAAGGGTGGTTGTTCATCTCCCGTTTTACAGCCCTGAGCCAGCGGTGGCGTGGGGTGAGCATCCATTGGGCATCCACCGTTGACTTTGCAAACAAAGCGGTGATCTTCTATGAAGAGGCCAAACCAAATCTGCCCAATAAATATTCCATGGCCTCTGTTCCTTCATTGACCTTATTGTTCAACTCCACTGACTCTCCTGAAGCCCTCTCCTGGCTAGCAGACCTCGACATTGCCTTTTTAACTCCTAACATAATGCCATACGCCAGAATAGAAAAAAATGTTCACATCATCAACCCATCCACCTCCATTTCTCCGTACTCCTCCTTTGGGTGTCTTCTGTCTGCGCCGCACATGCACGTATCGTTTGCCTAACTGCGTTGCCTCCTTGGTCGGCCTCTGCCCATGGTGCAAAGTGATGTGCCACCGAAATTTTCTCCTTGTCCCAATATGCTCTTAACCGCTCCATCCCTCTGCTGTTTCCCCCACCCACCCACCCCCGTGGTTAACAAAATCAAGGCCACGGTGCTGGAGGAGATGCCACCGTTTCCAGAGCGCGAGTCGTCCATCCTGGCCAAGCTCAAGAAGAAGAAAGGCCCGTCCACCGTCACAGACCTGGAAGACGGCAAGAAGACCGGCCCTGGTGGAGAACTCAACGGAGGATCTGAACCCATCGCACTGAAAGCGAGCGCCCTTGTACGTACATCTATACCTCCGGCACGTCGCGCTGTTTACATGCTGAACGTTTGTTTTCATTTCAAACAGTTTTTTTTTTGCAAATTGGCTTCTCGGAGTCCTATTGAGACGAATAAACTCCTGTCCAAAATGACAATATTTACAGGAGGAATTGTTTTGTAGTTTTGCCTAAAGAATTTGGGGGCCAGGCATGAGACGCCGGCAAACAAAATGCTCACGCTGTTCAACGGAGCTATTTTATCCAAACTTTACTGCACCTCTTCATTGCCTCCCGACTATGTGCTGCTCGATGTAGGTTGGCAGGAATGACCTGCTGGCGGTGGATATCACAAACTCGTGATCAGGGTCGTTTTGCATCTATATTTATATTAAAGGCTAAGGATGTCTGCAACAACTCGGCTGGCTTCTGCTCCCTGGATCATCTGCTTCGACCCCGAAGACAAGACGCTTTGGAGGAAATATCCCCGATGTATTTTTTTTGAACGGTGAAATTTTAGCAGTACAGCATTCGCACAGCCTCCTCCTTCAGTGGCATTTTAAAGGGGTTTGAATTTTTTCAGATTTCATTTTAACGAAAGATTTCATTTTACAACTGTTATGTAAATTTCGATTTAAAGCTTTCGTCACTGCAGAGATTCATATTCTTGGTTAATTTGGTAAAGTCACGTAGAAGGGAAATAATAAAAATAAAACATAATAAAATTCTCACGACGTTTCGGCCACAACGCAAGCAGCCGTCCTCAGGTTATGTACCTTGGCAAGATAGTATGGAGGCAAAATCCATGGTCTATTTATTTAAAAGTGACATTGTATTATTTTATATCGTTATTGATCTATATCTTGTATCTGTCTGAAGAGCAATCTTTGATTTAGAAAATATAAGTAAAAATATGCGTGAATCTTTATTTAAGGTCTGCTAGATCGGCGCATGTTTACAGCTAGTAGTTTATAAAAACCTAAATATGACTTGGTATCCCCCCCCACCTCTCTCCCAAAAAGATTGCCTTGTTGTGTACCCTATGTGCCGATGTGGAATTTGCACTCCTCTGGCTGGCACCTCCACTCGTCCCATGACATTGATTTTTTTTAATTCTTCATGGGTTAGCCCCTGCCTATCTTTACCCTCTCATTTAAGTTCATTCCCCACCTCCGGTTCTCCGCTCTGCTTCCCTCGAGGCTCTCTGTCCACCCCAAAATGTAAACACAAATCGATTGGTGGACGAGCGTTCACATGTGCAGCTCCCACAGTCTGGAACACTCTCCCGCTATACATCCGACAAATGAAATGACTTATTCAAATCTGAACCAACGGCCTATTTATTTGTCCTGGCATACAATGAAAAATAGGCATTTCCATTATTGTCCAACTGGCTTGTAACTTTTTGGCCACTCCACCACCCCTCCAGTGAAGGTTCTCCAAAATCCGGCAAAATGTTGGGATTGTGGTCTGGGGTATGGAGACCGAGCAGATTTGTTTATTTTCTCTTATGGATTATTTTTTTTGCTAAGTAGTGGGGTTTTGTTTTTGTTTAATCTGTGTACGGAACTGGATAATTGATGTGCAGCGTTGTGGGATGCAATTGCATGAATGATGCTATATAAAATGAAATTATTATTTTTAAAAGGAACAATGGGCCGCAGCTTCTCAGTGGAAAGACCAGTGCTCTGGGACCTCCTTGCAGGCTTTGTGTGTTTACCCAAGTTCTAGTTAAAGATTCTGGGAAGTAATACACATTATAATAGAATTTGGGTCAGGTACTTCAAGGTCCACGAGGACCTAACGTACCTTAAACGCAAACAAATTAACAAATGAAACTTTTGCTGAAAAGGATTTAAAATTGTATTATTTTGGTTGTCATGACCTCCCCTTTTCAGACAGACGGACAAAGTTAACACTAACACTTTCAATCTTGGTTTGGAAAGCGTAGAAAAAGTATCCACAGATTGGAACTATCGAATAATGCCACACTATACACTTAAGTGAAATAATGTACGGTGCCCGCAAAAGCCACCCACTGTCTGCGTTGTGTGCCTGTATATGCACATGTGTGTCTTGGGTTCCACACATGCAATTGCCTACATGCCTGTGTGTGTGTGTGGGGAGCGGTAGTGTAGTGGTTAGTGCACTGCGCTACGAACCCAGCGACCCAGGTTCGATTCCAGCTCACGGTCAGCCAGTGACGAATATCTGAACGGGTCCTGAACCTCAAATGAGTACCTGGTGCAGTGTAAATTTCGCCATTAGGATGACAAAGGTGGTCGGGTGTCGTGCTGGCCACCCAACCGTTCCGGCCTTCGTAGGTGCTCGCTGACAGCACTTTCCCCAACAGTCTTAGGGCTATACAGGGGAATCTTTGTCTTTTGTCTCGGTGCAGTCCACCCCATCCCCATCCGCGTCTGCTGACCTGCTTGGCCTCGGCGCCCCCGCGGCGGCAGCGGCGGCCGCGGTGGCCGCAGTCGCGGCCGGCTCTGTGCCGTCGCCGGGAGGGCCGGGGCCCAGCGGCTCGGTGGTGGGGCCGCCCGGCGGAGGTGGCGGGGGAGGAGGAGGACTGCTCGTCGACGTCTTCTCCGACATTGGCACCGCCGCTGCGTTGCCTTCGATCTCCTCCGACGAATACTTTGCCAAGTGAGTTGCCAACGCGCAGGATCGCTTTGAGCGCAAAAGTAAAACAGCTACGGCGGCGCTGCTGCCCTCTTGCAGTGGGTTGCTGCGTCTCCCGTGCTGCTGCCACGATCTGAAACGGCCTCTCGCTTGCTGCCTGACGACTCACGTGTGGAACAGTTAAAAAAAAAAACAATTGGAACGAAACTAGCAAAGAATTCGCAGGACTGAAACATGCTGAACCCATTTTGATGTTGTCACACAGCCCCTAGCCAACTCGCTAACAAACGCATATGTGGGGTGGGAAGAGGCGGAGTGTGGAGGCCGTGAAACGTGTGTCATCGTTGAGTGTATGGGAAAATTTACGTTGGCGCACAAACACACGTTTGTGCATGCGAAAATGTATGTATAAGTGTCGCGTATGTTTGTTTGCGTTATATATTTCCATAAAGCGAGTGCACATGTCAGGCGAATGCATTTGTATGTTGCTGCATTGTCATGGACACCCGCACACTATAGCAAAATGGCAGTTGTAAGATCGCTGCTCGATTATGGCAAAGCTAAGTGCTGTCCTCTATGGAATGTAAAAGAAAAACTTTTCTCGGGCTACAGAGGGTCCAGAACAAACTTGACCTGAGTCGTCACACGGTCACCAAAAGCGATCGCCTTCTCAGCTGCTCCTGAAGCCTCCGCGCTGGTTCCCAGTGCGCTTACAGAACATGCTGTACGCTGGCACTTCTTTCCGAGCTCAGCACTGTGCTGTGGCATACTGTTTAAGACCCAAGGTAGCCGTACGGAGCGTACGCCCGTCTCCTTCTCAACGCGTGCCTGTGTTTGTTTCTGTCTTTTGAGGGTTCGTCCTGGTCTTTGTCTTTTTGCGTATTTCCTCAAATGTTCTCGGTAGGCCGGGGCCTCGATCCAGAGTAATTCTTGAGATATTTATTTTGGTGATGGCTTTTTTTTCAGGGCCTTTCTTGCTGCTGAAAGCCGTGTGTAATTTTGGCATTTTCTCGCCGGTTAAGCGTATTGCAGTTGCCAATATCCAAAATCCCTCCGCATCATTGTTAAGGTCCCCTCGGCAAAGGGTGTAGCTACCTTTTTTCGAGGCTTGACGCTTGCTTAGCGAGAGCGATGTCGTCCGCGTAGACAAATATTCCAAGATGCTGCGTGTGTGACGTGTCGCCCGTAATATTCATTTTAATAATGGTGGCGCAAGCAACGGGGGGACGGGTGCTGCCTTCCTGGTCTTTCCTGCTTTTGGCAGCTTTTGGCTGGCCACCGAACAAAAAATGGTCACCGCATCACGCGCTTTCAGGTGCACTTGTGCAGCCGTCTGGAACGCTCTTCCCTCCAATATTAGGAAGCCCCTGGAGCTATGCACTTTTAAATCGCCTAGATTAACAAACTCATTTCTTTTAGAACTGACTTGTATTTAGATTGTCCTTCCTCCGATTTAGCACTGTCGGCTACGTACGGTGCAAAAGAGGTTCAACATGCGCACGTATATATACATCCCCGCGAAATGCTTGGAGACCGAGGTTACTCGGCATTTGACAGCGGCTGGCTGCATTTGCGGCACGGCATCAGAACCGTTGGGACTCTTTCATTAATAAAAAGAGAGCCCCAACACAAGTGTGTGCTCACGGGCGTACACTTTGCTTTCCGTGGTGCATGCGTGCGTGCACTTGGAAGTGTGTATGCCCTTTTGCTGTTTGACCGTACGCGTGTGTGTGTGCGTGCGTGTATGCACATCGGGGATTGTGTGCAGCCAGCGCACTCTCTCCCCGCCCGTCTCACTCTCTGATGACAGCGCCCTGCATGGCGCCGATGAGCTCTTTAACAAGTAAGATGTCCGACCCCTAGTTCCCCCGCACCTCCCTCCATCGTGCGTCCCACTGCGCATCCGGCCAAAGTGTCAGTCTGACCGTTCGCCGTTCAGTGGAAGGGGATGCCCGATCCTGCACAGGAGTCGCGGCTTGCGTGTGGGTGGTCGCTCTTCCTCCAGTTCTACTGTGGGCCACTCGGCCTCAGTTGTGAAGTAGTTTTATTGTTCTCTCGGTAACATTAAGAATACACCGTTTCTTTTTTACTCTTTGTATTGCCCGCATGTGTACGCACACCGAGTAAAATAATACAGGCGCACGTGTAACGTGTGCACATGTTCACGCGTGCACACAAATGCACACGGGCCCTGTTTCGCTGGATTTCACCCAGCAATTGGCAGACTACCGCTCCATGGGGTGAAATTGGAAGAGCCCTTCTGTCCTTTGCAAATTGCAATGGATGCTGAGACAAAAGAGCCGATTTGGGAGGGGGAGGGGGGTTGATCTCACAGTGAATACGCCCATCACGTGACCTCACCTCTGATAGGGGCCAGTCTTCTAATCCAAAATCCACGATGGGCACACCAAAACAAAGGTCCCCAGTATAGCCTTGGCAGACTCTTGGGGCAAGTGCTGTTAGCAAGCATCTATGAAGGCCAGCGTGGTGCACGAGGGGGTGGCCAACACCACGCTCGGCCGCCTTTGTCTCCCCAGTGGCAATGTTTACACACGTCGCACCAGGTATAGTATACTTGTGCCACGCCCCTACGATCACAAATATACTTACAGCGGCGCGCACACGCGTACGTGCTCGCTGTCTCATCTCTCTCACATGTGTCTGCAAGGCTGAGTAGGTACACGCGTTTTTTTAAACGTTCACATGTTGGCACTCAAATCTTTCTCCTTCACGTAACTGCTGTTGACGTTATGTAAAGTGATGCTGGCCTACTCCAGGCTGATCTTTGTTTAGTCCACTACAGAGAGATGGCGATGGATTAAGATGATGCTGAAATTTGCTCTTGCAGGGATTTTAATGCACGATCTCAATATCGAGAGTATTTCGTGCTGTCAAATGAGCTGTATCTTAGCGTGTGGAATATGACAAATTATTTTTTTGTAATTTTTTACAATGTGGGACAATTATAAATTGTGCCATCCCATAGTCTTAAAATTGATGGCTAGCTCTAATAATGCTATATATATATACACACGACAGCAACACATAATGATTTTGAACTCGCGTAATTGTGGGACTAGGATAGATTAGCATGGCTAATGTGTTTCTCAGACACTTGGTGTCACTCAACAGTACGTCACAATGTGCCAACATCAAAGCCTAAATTCCAACTGAATATAATGCACAATTATATTGTGAATACTGTATATACCTACCTTTTTTAGTATAGTGTTAAGATTAAAATATATACTTCTATTTAGCCCTCTCCATGTAAAAAAAAAACATGGTCAGTGGCCAAGACAAAATAGCAAAGGCATTTCTGGTCCATATCAGACAGCGTTGCAGCAATGCAATCTAAATCTTTATTGGGATAACTTCATTCTAACAATAGTCGTTCTGAAAAAGGTCACAAACGGTTTTAACAAAAAGTTTGTTCCTATTAAGGGAACAATACGTGAATATATTTAGAAAAAAATATATTTGCAACACGAGTGTATTTGTCATTTATCTTTGTCCCTTAGGTTTGTGTGCAAGAACAATGGAGTTTTGTTTGAAAATCAGCTGTTACAGATTGGCGTCAAGTCTGAATACAGGCAGAATCTAGGTAAGTGAGTGGCGAGGGGGATTGTGTGTGTGTATGTGTGTGCGTGCGTGTGTGAAACTGTTAGCGCTCTGCGCTATGAATCCGAGTTCGATTCCCGCTCACGGCCAACACAAGTGATGATTAGCTAACCCGGTTGTGGGCCTCCACTAGGTCGATTCGGCCTCAAATTAATACCTGCTGTGGTGTGTAAGCATCGCCGTGGTGCTGGCCACCCCCCCCCCCCCCATCGTGTGCCGTTCTGCCTTCGTAGATGCTCTTACAGCACTTGCCCCAACAGTCTGTTAAGGCTATAGGGGGAATATTTTGTCTTTGTGTACTTAAGCGTCAAGATGTCAATGAGCACACTCCACTAACATCCTGGCAGCAGCAAGATTTTCATTCCCGGCCACGCACACAGCTGCACGTGATGACGCTGACATGCGCCGTCAGAGCCATATTTGGGCAGTAATTAAAAAATGAGTTGCTGGCTCCCATGTGGTAAAATCGAATCGCCCGGGTAGCTGAATGTGGCAGCGCCTGCACCTTTATTAATCCCGTCATTTAGTGGTGCCTCCACAGGGTGCATCAAGCCCTTGGCTAATGAAACAAATCCTTCCGCGGGCACCTGAGTCTGTCTCGGAACTAACAAGAGGTGCCATGCTCGTTCTTGTGTCTGCCCGCAACACGCAGGCCGCGTCTGCCTTTTCTACGGCAACAAGACGTCCGTTCAGTTCCAGAGCTTCTCGCCCACCGTCGCGTGCCCCGGAGAGCTGAAAAACCATATCCTTGTTGTACGAGCTTCTTTTATTGCGACCTAAAAATAATGATGACAAAAATGCGATTTTTTTATGATGTGGATTAATTGAACACGCACGCTTTCGCGACCAATATTATCCATTAAAGAGGTTTTTGGGTGAGATCGCGTAAATATAAATGTGTTTGTTAAACCCACCACCACCCGACACAGCCAAATAGTAAGGTATGTCACATAAACAAAACATGGCAATTCGTTACTAGTACAGCACACACCGATGTGCTGTACTAGTAATGAATTGGCACGTTCTGTTAGCGTGACAAAACTTACCAATTGGCTGTGTCAGATGGTGGCAGGTTTAATGACGTATTTAACGCACCCAAAAACCTCTTGTAGATTATGTGGATTGTTGTACGGTCGGTTTTAAAGAGGGCAGCCCACACAGGCAGGTTTGTTTTTGCCAATGCTCAGGGAAATTGTAATTTCGCTGTCTTGGGTTTTTGTTTGTTGAGTATTAGGTGCTTTTGTTAAAACCTAAGAGTTCTAAATATATTCATTTGGCTTAACGAATTTTAAGATTTTCCTTCCAAACCTTAAGAACCATAAAACTGTCCTATTTTGACACACTCAGTCTTGTACATAACCTCTCCAAAGGATCATAAACATGTCCTTTCTTACTCTTCGAGTCTTTCAAGTTAATTAAGAACAAACCTACTTGTGCTATAATTTGATTTTGCAATAATTGTAATTCCCATTACCTCATAAACCCCTTAATGAGGCCTGTGTTTTGCCGAATTGTCAAGTGACTCAACTGACGCCCAAGAATATCAAATAACGTGAAAACGCATTATGTGACCGTCGATATTGTCATTTAAAAATGCATCGGTCGCTCCGGTGGCCATGTGGCAGAAATCGCCCATGCGTTCCTCATTCCGTCTGCGACATAGGTCATTGTTGCATAACGCTCGCATACGCAGCCTGTCATCCTCGAATCTAATTTATATTTAGAGAACGCATTCACTCAAGGCGCTTGACATCGGGATGACAAAATGGTAAAAGATTTGATTAATTTTGATGGCCGTACAAGGATTCAGGAATGAGTGACAGCGGTAGACGGGTACCGAAAGATCACAAAAATGGTCTGGGAGGGATGGGAAGGAGTGGGAGGGGCGAGGGGAGGGAAGAGGAAGGGAATTGGCGATAGAGAAGAGGTGGAGCTTTACGAGAGGAACGGAAGAAGGTTGAGGGGGGGGGGACTGCTCATTGTACAGGGGGAGTGTGAGTCTGGGTGGTAGTGTTGAGTTTATGGGTAATGCTGATCAATGTACAGGGGGAGTTGATTCCAGTGGAGGGGTGCACGGAGAGAGAAAGATCGAAAACAGGATTGGGCACAGGGAGAAGGAGAGAGAGAAACTGGGAATGAAGAGGCTGAGAGGGGATGTGGAAGGAGATGAGAGGCAAGGTGAGGTGTGGGGCAAAACGAAACTATTTTTTTATTTTATCGGTAAAGCTCTTTTTAAGAAGCGACCTGACCATCACAAACAATAGCTCAACGAAGTGGCTTACCATCATCACGTGCAAATTTATAGCAGCAGCCAAAGACTCTGAAACGCACGTCGGCGATTCTAAATGTGCAAGGCGGTGGGCGGCGTGTTGTGCTTATAGAATTAAAATATGTATTTATACTGGAGGAGGAATATGATGAGATATAAAGCTGATTTTCCACCGATATCCAGTAGGGCACGGTGTAAGGACATTACAGGAACAAACAGTACAAAAACACGTAGGCTTTCGCGACCAATATTATTCATAATAAAGGTTTTTGAGTGAGGTCACGTAAGTATAAATGTGTCGCTCATTTATACTTACGCGACCTAACCCAAAAAACTATTATGAACAGTACAAAAACACGGACAGGACTGCAAAGTCCAAGAAAGGGTAAACAAATCGCCCAAAACACACAAATACAACATTAAAACTATCCCTGCCCTACCAGGCAAAGCCCCACCGAGGCATTAACTTATTCTTTCCAAAGCGACCGTGGCCACAAATGATCGCCTCCTTGACTGCACGGGGGGCCCCCCCTCGCACAGCTGGCGGTGGAGGCTCGCACAGTGGAGCCGCTGATCGACGGTGGGGCACAGGTGCAGCAGATGATCAATGTCGAGTGCTTGGACGACTTCAGCGAAGCACCTCTACTTACCATCCAGTTCCGGTGAGACCCAGAAACTCCTCTTCGGCAACACAGAGACGGGTAGGGCGTGAGAGGGCTTGAGCTTGTTGTTGGCCTTACGAAGCTGATGTTAGGGTAAAGGCATAGTGGTTTAATATAATAGGTTGTGTTTATATTCTTAGCTCTTTCGGTAAAGTCACGTTGAAGGGAAACAATAAAATAATAATATATATAAAAATTCTCACGACGTTTCGACCATAACACAAACGGTCGTCATCAGGTGTGAAAAAGCCAACGGCAATTTTCTTGGCGTTGGTTTTTTCAGAGAATTTTTATTGTTTTATATATATTTTATTATTTTATTGTTTCCCTTCAACGTGACTTTACCGAAAGAGCTAAGAATATGAATTACTGCAGTCACGAAAGCTTTCAATCAAAATTTAGGTTGTGTTTATGTTAAATGGAAAGGTTCAGGGGTAAAAGGTTTTGTAGTTAATCGTAAAAATGGTTTAGAAGTTGAGATGTGCTTGGGTTAAGGATTTGGGTCTGTGAGCCATTTGGGGTCCAATTAGTGTTCAATTTTGTGTTCTGGTTTATGCTAAGAAGTTATGGATTGTTTTTTTTTAGACTTACGATTTTAGCGTGTGGATATGGTTAATAGTTTTGAGGTTATGGTTCATAGTTTTGAGGTTATGGCTATGGGCTTACGGTGAAGGTTAGGGTTTTATATTCTTGGTTCTTTCGGTAAAGTCACGTAGAAGAGACACAATAAAATAATAAAAAATATATAAACAATAAAATTCTCACGACGTTTCGACTGCAACACAAGCAATCATCATCAGGTGTGAAAACCACAGCAAGAAAAATGTTAAAACATTTTTTTGCCGGTTTTTGTACTAATTGGTGGTGGTGGTGGTGATGGTAATGATTGAGCCCGCATTGAGGGCACATGTTAAACTCTTAGTTGTAACTTGCTGACCCATCCCTACTGGACATCTGCAAAAACAGAGCTTCAGAGCTCATTGGATTCCTCCTGCAGTCTAAATAAATATTCTGGTATCCTCTCATCCTCTGGAGCACTCGCCGAGTGCCTAATCGGCGAGCCATGCGATGGCCATGTGGCTTTACGTGCAGTCCCCCCGAAACATTGGGGGGGGGAGTGCAGAAATATTGGCAATCGTATGTTTTATTTTAAAGCAGCGTTATTGACGAATGGTTTTTAGTTAGTTGTGCTTGTCCACCACTGCCCATGCAGCATCACGATGCGAGCTTGTCTTAAACTTAAAGTAGAACCCCTCTTAATGACCACCCCTGTTAACGACTAATTGCTTAACGACGGGCCTCCATAGAGCCCAATGTGTAGTATATAGTAGTGTAGTGGATAATGTACTGTATAGTAGCGTAGAGTAGAACCCCTTTTAACGACCTCCCCCCCTCCACTGTTAATGACTAATCACATAACGACAGGCCTCCATAGAGCCCAATGTGTTCGCTTACTGAACAATCCCCTGTTAACGATGGGCTGTTGTAGGTACAGTAAATATGAATTAATGCATTGATTAACCGTCTTTATTTTAATGTGTTTATAATGTTGTTAGTATCTTTATGTATTAATATCCGTTTAATATTAGAAAGTAATTTTTTTCTATTAAAAACGGGTAACTTTCGTTTCCATTAACGTGCATTTCCTATACTCGCTTAACGACCAAATCACTTAACGAACGGTTTCGTGGAACCAATTACGTCCCTAAGAGGAGGGCTTCTGCTGTCTGTGTGGGCGTCAACATGGCCGAGTAGTAGCACGTCAACCGCTTGTTGCAGAGGTTTACGGTTACAGCCCCATGGCTACCCTGTTTAATCCTGCGCGGAGGGGGGGTGGGTATGAACCGCAAATGTCCGCACACCGTCTGCTTTACAGTGGACGTTAAAGATCCCATGGCGCTATTCGAAAAGGAGGAGGGGACGTGGCCCTGGGGCGTTATGGTCCACATTTCTCAAATGAGAAAAATGGCCCGCAAATCTACTCGCTTGGCAAACCAAACACTAGAGTTGTCGCCCCCAACTTGTCAAAAACCATAGCGGTACTCCCCTGATAAGTGTAAAACTCGGCGAGGCCTTCCTGAGTAAATCAATGCCAGTGAATAAAATGTGTTTTACACGCATGTATATGTACTAACGTATGTGTGTGCGCACTGGGGCACAGTAGTGTAGGGGTCAGCGCGCCGCACCACGAACCAGGCAAACACCAGAGAGTGGATTTCCGCTCATGGGCATCAACATTGGTGGCGATTAGCTGAACGGATCCCGGGCCTCATCTCGGTCGACTCGGCCTTAAATTACGACTTGGTGTGGCGTGTAAGCATCACCACCGGGGAGACAAAGGCGGCCGAGCACAATGCTGGCCACCCACCCCCTCGTGCGCAGTAACCAGCCTTCAATAGGTGCTACTCACTAACGGCACTTGCCCCCCCCCCCCAACGGTCTGTTAAGACTATAAGGGGGATCTTTGTCTTTTGTGCGTGGTGCATATGGACGTGTGCGTGCATCCATGCACCAGCTATGGGGGCTCCATGCAAAGCATCACGATGCAGCTCCCCGTCGTTCTCAACAAGTTCTTTCAGCCGACTGAGATGGCCTCGCAGGACTTCTTCACACGCTGGAAGCAGCTAAGCAGGTGCTGCCCGTGCCCCCCAAGGCTTCATTTCGCTGCCAGCCGAGGAGACTTGGCAGATCGCGCAGTCTGGAGAAGTAGACACGTCTGTGTGCGCGCGTGTGGTGGGAAGCCGGTAGTGTAGCGGTTAGCGTGCTGGCACTACCAACACGGCGACCCGAGTTCGAATCCCGCTCACGGCCAACGCCAGTGACGATTATTTGAACTGGTCCTGGGCCTCCCCTGGGTCGACTCAGCCTCAAATGAGTACCTGGTGCGGTGTGTAAGCATCACCACTGGGGAAGCAAATGCGGCCGGGCGTGGTGTTGGCCACCCACCCCCTCGTGTATTGTGCCGGCCTTCATAGGTTGCTCGCTAACGGTGCCTGCCCCAACAGTCTGTTCAGGCTACACGGGGGATCTTTGTCTTTTTGTGTGGTGGGGAGCGGTGGCGCAGTGGTTAGCTCACTGCGCTACGAACCCAGTGGCCTGAGGTTCGATTCCTGCTCATGGCCAAAACCAGTCATGATTTATATTAATGTTCCTTTTTGAAAGGCCCGCGGGCCATGGGTGGCCCTTAGTGCAGCCCCTGACAATACACAAACGTGAAAACACCCCCCATCATCATCATCGTGCAGCTCTCAAACCCCCCTCTGAAAATTAGTGAAGAACACTGATCGGATGACTCAAACTCACGAGTACCTGGTGCAATGTGTAAAAATTGCCACGAGGGAGACAAAGGCGGCCGGGCGTGGTGCTAGCCACCCACCCCCTCGTGTGCTGTGCCGGCAATCATAGGTGCTCGCTAAGAGCATTAGCCCGAGCGGTATGTTCAGGCCGCTGGGGCATACCTACGCCATCGTTATCGGTTGATGGCGGTGTAAAGAAAGACTAAACGTTGCTGGTTTTTCTGTGTCTGTGTGAGTGCAGCCCACAACAAGAAGCCCAGAGAATCTTCAAGGCAACGACACCAATGGAACTAGAGGTTACCAAAGCCAAGGTGCGCGTTCCCCATCGCTTGTACACAATGTAAAACGGAATGATTGAAGGTTTATAATAGAGGGTTTTTTTTTTGGGTTAGATCGCATGAATATAAATGTGTCGTTAAACCCGCTACCACCCGACACAGCCAATTAGTAAGATGTATCACGTCAACAAAACATGCCAATTTAGTTATTCGTTCAGCACACCGGTGTGTTGGAGAGTAAACCCATTCGAATTGTAAATGTTTTTTGAAAAAGACAAAAGACAACTATGAGCTCTCAATACAGAATTTCCTCGGTTAACGCAGGAGATGCGTTCCTGAAAAGTGCCGTGTGAAGCCAAAATAATTTTTCCCGTAAAATATATATATCGATAAAGTTTGGCGAGATACTAGGTACTCCTACGCACACGCAGTAAGATGGCGGTACCGCTGTACCACTCGGCTGCGCAGCTCAAGAACGTAGTTCGTCGTCGAGTGCTCCGAGTCTACGTTATAACGGTGCGCGTTCCGCGTTATGACATTCCCCCCGTTGTGCAAAAAGTGTTCCCTCGTGGGCGAACCGCGTTATGGCGAAAAAGTGTTGTGTGACCATACACGTTTAAGCGAGGACTTATTGTGTTTGTGTATGTGTGCGCTTGCAATCTTGTGCACACGTGTGTATCAGCTGGTTGGGTTTGGCATGGCCATGCTGGAAAGAGTCGACCCCAACCCGGACAACTATGTGGGGGCAGGAATCATCCAAACTAAGACTTTGCAGATCGGCTGCCTTCTGCGACTGGAGCCCAACCTGCAGGCACAGGTATGAGTGCGGCTCGATTTACATTTTTTTGAGCCGGCTGGGCCAGGATTGGGCAAAACTTCTCGCCAAATGTTCACCCTTCAGACAACTGGAGAGCAGCAGCTCAGACTTTTGAGTGGTCGTTTTTTGTGCCTTGTATGTGTTTTGTTGTGTGTGTGTGTGGGGAGCGGTAAGCGCAGCGGTTAGTGCACTGCACTACAACCCCTGCAGTCCGAGGGTTCGATTCCCGCTCGTGGCCAACGCTGGTGGCGATTATCTGAGCCGTTCCTAGGCTTCCCCTCCTAGGTCGAATCCAACTCGCATGAGTACCTACCATTGCGTTGTGCAGTAAACATTCTTAGGGAGATAAAGGCGGCCGGGCCTGGTGCTGGCCACCCACACCATCGTATGCCATGCCGATCTTCATAGTTGCTCGTTAACAGCGCTTGCCCCAACAGTGTTGTCTTTGTCTTTTTTTGGTGCGCGTGTGCGTTGTGTGCGCGCGCGTGCAGATGTACCGCCTCACACTGCGCACGAGCAAAGAGAGCGTCTCCAAAAGGCTTTGCGAGCTCCTCGCCGAACAATTCTAAACTCCGCTCTTCTCCATTCCCCCCCCCCCCTACCCGTGCGCGTCTGTTTCTCACGCACTCAAACGCTGTCCCTCCCCTCCTCCGCCATGCCGCCTCCTTCCTCTCCACATGTCGTGCCCATTGTCGTTTCCTCTCCCACGTTCTGGTAAAGGCCCCCCCCCCACCCCACCCGCTTCGTCCGTACTTTCGAATGAAAAATCGATTTGGAGGGATTCCCTCCACCTCGTCCACCGCTCCTGCACCCACCCTCGTGTCGTGGATTCACGCTTCCGAGATCTTGCTTCATTGTTGCTTGCTCCTCTGCTCGCTCGCTCGCTGTCTCCCGCTCGCTCGCTGTCGCTTTGTCCACATCATATGATCTCTAGAGCCGTGTATATCTGATCTCCCCTTGGCTGGAGCCTTACATCAATTGTGATTTATTCTTCCCCCCCCCATCCCCTGATCCTCCCAGGCCAATTGTAACCCTCAGCCTGGAAATCTTTTGAACACTGAACCTGACCTTCATTTCCTACCCAATCTTGTCCTTGCACCCAGCTCTTAATACATTCCACTGTTGTGATTGGTTCCCCCATTACATTGGCCGACTGAAACTAAATTAAAAAGCTTCCTGATGACTAATCAGGTGTGAGCGTAGGGAATGCTTGAGGCTCAGAATAAAGCTAAAGTACGCTGCGGCTGTGACAGCGATGGGAGGGGGGGGGGGGAGATTTTGGCGATTTTTTTTTGTCTCGTTTGCGGGCATTCGGGGCTTGCACAGTTGAACGGGCCTTGGTCACTCATACTCGGATTACTTGAGTAAAAGCTACGCGTCCGATTCCGAAGAAATTTCGCACGTTATATTTCCGTACACCATTTCAGACTTCCTTTTCACATCCTCAAGAAAGTGGGGTTTTTTTTTGCACAACTCGAGGCCATGGTCATGTGTAGGATGTTCCCCAGAATAGTGGTGATGCTTTAAATGCACTTATAGTGTTACACACACAAACTCACATGCACACGTATGACAAGATTGCACGGGAAGAGTGATGGTATTTAAAAAGCTCTTACGGGCAAGAGATTAAAAGACAACAGGATTGGCCAAACGAGACATGTTGATGATTCATTTCCCTGTTACATCTTTAAGAGTACCGCTTTTCCCTCCATACCTTCTCTTCGCATTGTGTCGACGGGCACACACAACAGTCGTGGAATTCCAAGGAAGCTATGAAAGCAATGACATTGTTGATCCTGTTAGCCGCTTCGGAAGGGGGTTGTTTTTGTTTGGATCTTAATTATTCGAACTAAACTGTTACATTATCATGTCTTATACAAATATGCCCAGGCCGAAGGAGAAAAATAAAGTACGTTGTTCTTACCTGGGCTTAAAAATATATATAAATACATGTGAGAAATCTCTCCGCGATTATGAAATTCACCTCGCTATAAGTGGAGGCAATACCTCCTGCTTTGGCAGTAAACTATTGGGGAAGGACTGCAAACTGCGTCCCCACTACTGCAGTGTTCAGCTACCCCTCGAGAATTAAAAATCTGCACCAATTTAAAGCGGTGGGGGGGGGGGGGGTGGCTGTTTAAAATTTAAATTATTTTTTTGTTTGTTATCGAGCAATTGGCGACAAGATCAAGAAAGTTGACTTGCAGCATCTTGTTTTGGGCTTGTTACACCACCACCCCTCCTCCCCACGTTGTACAAGCGAAGTTTCACCCTGTAGATGTCTCTACTCGAAGTTTTTGTTTGCAATTCAAGACGGAAATGTCTAATCGCGGAGTTCCACCGCCTACCGTAGCAACAGTTTTGAATCCCATTACAGCCCCCTCCCCCCCCCACATGCTTGTCCGTCAGCCAGATCAGCAGTTTGGTGTAGCAAACGACGTGGTAAACTCTGATGGTACCAATCTCTATTTATGGTCCCCGTATTCACGCGTGATTGATAACATTTTGACTTCAAAATACCATCTGTGGTTATGGACCCTTTAAAAAAAAAAAAACTAAATATCCTAATATTTTTTTGGTTTTGCCTACTTGTCAATTGCTAACTAACATGTTGCGAGTGACACGTTGTTTCGGTTGCTGCGGACAAGTTACCTTCTCCCCATGGCGTTGCCCTCGAAAAAGAGCTGGCCAGCTCAGTGGGCCTTCCCGCCCCACCTGCACCCCCGGGATAACCAGCACACAGAGATACAACACAACCGTTTGGTCTGGGCGAGTGCACTAATTTGTCAGAGTTGTTGGTCGGTGCCGCTTTGGTAACGCGTGTATTGATTGCTTAACCACGAACGTGATTTCTTTTTTAAATATGATTCGTGATTGTATCGCGTGTGACCCCGATGTGAGCCTGTGGACTAACTTCTATCACTGTCGCTTCTCAAAAGCCAATGTGATGAATTATATTCTGAATGTCTCGCGCGCTTCATGGTTCTAAAAAAATGCAATCGATTAAATATATATAGGACGTCTTTTTTTAAATGTTGACGTATAGACCGATGTCGTTTCACGTACCCCCCCCCCACCCTTCCTCCTCCTTCATAGCTACCTCCGCCCGATCTCGTAATGACACCAGAACTATTTCGGCAAACGAGCGGCCACAACCTCGATATCCTTACCCTGCATGGACGCAGCTGCACGTGGATAATGTTACGAACTCATTCATGCATCATTTATAAACGCCGTGGGGAGTGAGTTACAGGTGGTGTTCGGTGATGTGTCCAGAATCCTTTTATTAGATAAGTGTGGGACTGGGTTGGTGGGCGCGTGTGCTTGTGTGTCTTGCGAAAATTGTAAACGAGCGGATGATTTCATAACTTTTCGGACACGTGAACCAGACAAGAATGTTCATCGAACTTCGTCCGTGAATGAGCCTAACTTCAACCACTGCCACTTTCGAAACACGACCACACCATACATGCGTTGGCACATGTATGTATAAAGTACACAAGCACATGTGATATTAAAAGGTATGGCATGTAATCTATCGGAACACGTACAATTCAGTATGTTTAATGCTTATATATTGTGTGTGTACTGTATACATAAGCCTAATAATAGTATACGTTATATGCGATGTATATTTGAGGATCGGATACATTTCCAAGCACTGCCCATACACAAAAAAATATATAACATGTATACTGTTGATATAATGTGCGTGTAGATGGTCATATGATGTGTAAAAGTAATTGATCACATACCTGACTGATCCGAGTGTTGCTCATCGGTGGTGGTGGTCCTCAGCCAGTTGTCGGGATAAGGGCATTTAACTTATGGTACAGAGCGACTTCTGATTCCAAACCACGTTCGCACCCCCCTTCTGTGCCAAAACATTTGTTTAACATCAACGAGCGAGGCGTTTTACCGATCCCGGATGGACAATGAGTGATTTCAGCTTGGAGGGGATTTTTTTTGCAAACCTTCGTGTTTTTACGATTGAGAACACCACAGCCGAACTAGTTTGAGATGCGCCACCCGCTTGCTTCTTATCCGCTTGTACAGCAGTACCCCGATTTACCGTCCCTCCTTTATGTCGTTTCGCAACTACGTCGTCACTTTATGATTCACACCGCTGCTACCTGATTTGCGTCGCCTCAACCTCGCACCAAACTCACGTCGCTGACAGCATCATCATCATCCGTCCTCTCTCCTGTCCCGTCGCCTCTCAGCCTTCGCCTCCACCACCCACCTACTAGCTACCCTTCGATTTGACGTCGATTCGATATCCGTCGTCGCACCTATTTCAGGAAACGCACCCCCGAAGTGAACCGGGGTGTATTGCCGTAGGCGACAACCACTTGACCGTCTACACACACATTCATTACGGACGCGGCGGTGTGCAAACCCAATAATGAGCGTACCCACCCAATAATGAGCGTGCCCACGAAAACTCTATCATTGATGCCCCGTGGTATCCACGTTGGGTGGGATGCCCCTGCCAGCCAGGTCGGATCTGACTTTGTTATTGTTTTTAATGGCCATTGTGAAACCCGTCGCATGTGGCGATGCCCTCCCACCCCCACCGATTTGCTGTCCGGCTCTCGAGTTTCTGTGAAAGTGAGGATCCGTGTTGAGCAACTTCAACGCTGTCGTTTGTGCTGTCGTGGGTTTTTTTGGTGGTGGAGGGGGGTGGGAAAAACAACTCTTGGTTGATTTTTGTCTTCCCTATCCTTAAAACCCAGTCCTCCCCACAATGGTTATTAAATTATGTGATTCAAGGGTTATTACGGACTATATTTAAAGCGGCTCAACACAAGTTGCATGGTTCTGCAGGTGTGTGATATCGTGTGGTGTGGTGTGGCTTCACAGTCCTGTGTACGTCGTTCGTGTGTAAGTGAACATGTGAAAAATGTGTACAGGTGTAATGTACGTGTGTAGTTTAATTGTACGCAGTTATGCGCATGGTTACGCGTGTGTGTAGGATGTGTGGTGTGTACGGGTTCCTATGCACGGATGCGCACGTGTATTGGACGGGTGTGTGCTCATGTGTGGTGGAGCGGTTTCGAAGTGGTTAGCACACCGCGCTACGAACCCGGCGTCCACAGTTGGATTCCCGCTCACAGCCACCAACAACCAGGTGACGATTATCTGAACTGGTGCCGGGCCTCCCCTAAGTCGAATCCGCCTCACGAGTACCTGTTGCGGTGTGCAGTAAACATCGCCACTGGGGGGGACAAAGACGGTCGGGCGTAAAATGTTGGCCACCCACCTCGTCGTGTGCCATGTCGGTCTTCACTGGGGCTCGCCAACAGCCTATCCCTCGACCGTCTGTTCAAGGCTTTACGGGGTGGGTGGGGATATCCGTGCAAATGTGTGGTGACCCGTAATCGATAGATGTGCGCACATGTACACGCGTTTTAGCAGGGTGCTGCCCCCACCCCTCCTGCTTTCATTAATTTGCCTGTTAACCTGAAGCCACTGCGAGCTTAAACAACAGTCACTCTATTTTACAGGTTGCTCAACGGAGTTGGACAAATACATCGCAGTCAATGCACGTACAGTCCGAGTAGGCCAGTGTCCTTCACTGCAAGGCCCGCGGGCCACTGTCGGTCCCTGGTGGCCTTTAGTGCGGCCCCCGATAATGCACCAATGTGAAAACACCACCCCATCGTCAGCGTGCTGCTGTCAAACCCAGCAGTGGTTTCAAATACGTGGCGAACCGTCTCACACTGACGATGTCTTATCGGCGCAAGTGGCCTAAACCTCTGAAAATTGTGAAGAACGCCGATTTATATGAACTGGTCTTGGGTCGCCTCTAGGTTGACTCAAACTCACGAGAACCTGGTGCAATGTGTAAACATTGCCACGAGGGAGACAAAGGCGGCCGGGCGTGGTGCTAGCCACCCCACCCCCCCGTGTGCCGTGCCGGCATTCACAACATTGCAGTCGAGGCGTAGACCCAGATAAGAGGTGGTGGAGGAGGTCGCGGTTATATTCGCAGATTTGGAGTTACATTTTTGTCAGCTGTTGACTTTTACACCAAAGGTAAGAAATTGAGAGGCGGGTATATAAGAGCCCAAAAAACGGAAACGTTACTTTGCCCAGTATGCTGCATACTGAGTGGCAGCACCCTGTATGTATGTTATTTATGCTGGCGTGTGGGTTATGTGTGGTGCGTGTATACATGACCACGTGTGCTGCACGAGGTGACTGCGCCGCCAGTAGCCAGCGCTTGGTAGCACAACGTGAAATCTGTGATATAGTACAAACTAAGCAACCGTTAAACCCGCCACCACCCAACTCAGCCAATAAGTAAGGTTTGTCACGTAAACAAAATATGCCAATTCGTTACTAGTTCAGCGCACCGGTGTGTTAGAGAGCAAACCCACAACATTTATCATTCGAGTATGCCGTTTTGCCAGTAATTACAACTAGCATCATCAGGCAGCATGATTTACTAATTGGCTGTGCAGGATGGTGGCGGATTTAACGATACATTTAATGCGATCTAACCCAAAAAACCTTATGGATAACAGGGCTTTCGCGACCAATATTAAACGTTTGCTTTAATGCATGCACGGCCATGTGCAATATGAACATCCTCTTTCGTCTACATTGCTTTCTAGGTATCGATTTCAATGTACTGCATTTTCCCTATTTAAACAATCCAAATCGTAGTGTTAACCGTTAACCCAATGGAAATTGCTTAAATGTGTTTCTGTTTATAAATGGATGTATGGTGTAACGCGGTGAACAGACGGATCGCTTGAGTTCTCTTTTAAGCGAATCGGGAATCGTCTTACAGTGAAATTGGGGCTTGAAAAAAATGTGTGGCTGATGATTCACAACATTTATGGAACTACAGATATCGCACACGCACGTCATCATTCAAATAATGCACATGAACTTAGCATTATAAGAACTGTAAAAAAATCCTGTTATTTTCACTCTGTACTTCAACGTTGTTAGCAATGTTTACTGCATGGGTTCGGAACTAATTAAGGATTAAAAATTTGCAGTGTTGATAATTTCCCGTGTTTATCTTTATAAACACGTGAATGTTGATCGCGTTCCATGTATGGCACAAAATGCTCAATATAATAAAAAGAAAACAGGTTCATGTAGTGTCTGGGTTAAACCGTAAAACAAACTGAACCAATGAAAAGTTTTGAGAAGGGGCCTTTGACCAAAATCACTTGGAATGTGCACAGTTCTCGTCAGATCTCGGAAGCTAAGCGGAGATAACCCTGGATAATTGTGTATCGGCTTGCAGCATGCAAAACGGATTGTTGAAAGCTATAGGGCCCCAACGATGGGCAGTAAGGGGCAGCGCAGCAGAATCCATTGTTGTACCATACATCTGTCCCCGCCTGTTCGCTGCCCACCTTCACCAAGCTGCGTCGTGAAGTAATGGCCAAGTAACCCCCACGATCACCCGCACGGTGTGGGTGTGGCCTCGCCCAGCAGTGTTTGGAGAAGGAATGCCCTTTGTAGGATGTGCATGTAATTAAGTTAGCCCTTAGCAGTCCTCTTGGGTTAAGACTCTACCCCCAAAGATAAACAGCCCCCCCCCCCCCATAGCAATACGGGATTTAATTGGTAGATTTCAAGTAAAAAAATCACTTTCTGAACGCATGGAGATTTTACCGTACATCAATCGGTGAAAGCCGAATACATATGTTTACATTTTTTTGAAAGGAATACGTGAAAACGAAAGCTAACCTTGACGAGCCTCTCAATGAGGACGCCTTTGCGAAGTGCGAATCCGGCACGGGGTTACGCTGTGACCGCTACCGCCTGTAGACGATGAACCACTGCAGCCCGGCCACGTGGCCCGTCTTCACGGTGGTGATGTCATAGTCGATCGTGATGTCATAGTCAATCGTGAAGCCGCCGCATTCCATTGGCTGCATGACCACACTGGTTCGCGGGGTGGGATGTACTTTGTCACTGGCGGAGCCAGTGGGGGAGGGGGGGTGGCATTTTGGGACTCCCACTGCCACTGTGGAGCATATTATTACGTGCCAGGGACTCTATGAGATGATAGGACAATAGTCTGAGTCCATAATTGGCAATAAATAACGGCAAAGCAGTGAAAAGTGACTCAGAATTGTGCGCAGTTGCGTATCCAGTCCACGACTTCCCTGAAGGCATTCACCTTCAGCGAGCGCGATGCCGATCACACAACGCGGTTCGAATTCGACTCTCGATCGATGGCTGCGCCATCGCCGCTCACGCGTCGAATAAAAAGCAAGGGACAAGTCCTTACTAACAACTCCTTACTAACAACTCCTTACTAACAACTCCTTACTTACTAACAACTCCTTACTAACAACTCCTTACTTGCTAACAACTCATTACTCACTAACAACTCCTTACTTACTAACAACTCCTTACTTACTAACAACTCCTCTATCATTTCTCATTGCTGGAGGAGTTGCCCCCCCCCCCCCCCCCCCCCCACATGAAAATCCTGGCTCCGCCATTGTACTTTGTAGCGATCGCTTTCCGCTGGTCACCATATATACAGGGTGGTCCAAACTCAAGGCCGCAGGGTTATTCGGTTTATTTTAACACTGGCATTAAAACGTTTTAACTGTTCAATGCGTTAAATTTTCGTAACTGAGCAAATATGATACACGTTCCCTGTTAAAAGTTGTAATTATTTTTTTAACTGCATTATCCATTCTTAAAATCGTTTATTAGAAATGTGTTTTTCACATATATTCCATGCAATCATACATATGACACCCCTTTACAGACCGACGCTGCTAATTTATTATGCACACTAGCAATTGCACTGGTGATAATAAAATATATTTACCTTCGCTTTTCCCCCATGCAAAAGATATAGGTGGATACAAGATATACGTTACATGGCTACCGTCCAAAGCCGTGGCCGCATTGGTCCTCAGCACTGGCCGGAAAGACGACAAAAAGTAGGAACTGTTCATTGTCGTCGCGTTGTGAATGCAACGACTCACAATCGCAGAAGCCTATCCCATTTGGCAAATAAAGTGATAATGACAACAGATGGAGGTGGCCAGGTTGGCTCGGGGCTTTGAGCTGCCACCAGCTGCGATTCTGGGTTTTCAAGTTTTATAGCGAGTTGTTGATGTTCTCAGCTCAGGTATCAATAACTAACAAAAACCAACCACGTATCTGGTTATGTGCTCAATTTGGCTCCGTGCGTGCTCGGAGAAAAAAAGAAATATCGGTTTGACCGATAAATATTTATCTGTGCTTGTCCACAGGGTGGCCTAAAAGTCAGGACACATGGGGTTATATTTATTTTAACAAATCACAGGGGTTATTTTTTTAATTTCAACAAACGTTCAAACTGACTGCCATTAACATCAATGCATTCATGAATTCCCTTTCGAAAATAATTTAGGAATTTTTAGAGCTTTCGATAGACGTAAAGACGAATTGAACTCGTTCGTCTTTTGTAAAGTGTCTTTCCATTTTTGAATGCCATCTGAAATTGGAAGACAAATACGTATAAATAATGATAATAGCTAAAATATTAACTTAAAATTTAAATATTTCAATGCCAGTGTTAAAGTAAATCAAATAACCCTACGTGTCGCAGAGTGTGTGGGAAAGTGCTTCCTTCTTGGCGGCTACACTGCTCTGGTAGAGTTCTCAATGCATCATTTGTCATAATTACTAGTCAGAATAAAATACCTTCATGAACATGTTACCTTACAAGCTTTTCCCCAACTTCCATTGGATTCTTCGTCTTTTCACAATACTGACTACGATTGGCATTAAGTCTCGGGAATTATATTTTTTGTGAAAGTAACATAACATGCCACGTTGTAATGCGTTTAATCGGATCACCATGTCTGATTTCTGCAACGTGATCTTAAAATATTTTACTTCAGTATCATGTAAACACACCGTCCGTTTTTGTTAGCTCATTGTGAAATACGGGCAAGTGTAGATTATTATGGCGCACGATCATTGTCGTCTTAAATAACTCCTTAAGCCTTTGATCGTCTTTGATTCGTATTAAAGCAGCGCACAACGCATGATGTGTTCGGGGGATTCCGATAAGCGACACACTTTTCCGAGACAACTTTTTATTTACTTAAATATTACTTCATCGTTTTTATGATTAATAAAATCATGTTCTGGATTCACACACCGCCCCCCCCCCCCCACACACTTTATTAAAACCTCGTACCTCCCACTACATCTCAACCCAATGAGGAGGAGAGTTTTCCTAACGAGTCGAGCCGCGTTGTCCCTTTTTTTTATTAAGTATATAGAGTACTGTACTTTTAAATCGCCGATCGCACTCTCTTCACTTTTGTTCTGCCGTCAAAACCGCATTGGGATTTTGTTTTGACATTTAAAGAACTCGCTGTCAGGTCAAAGCATCTCAAGCGCAAAGATGCTTTTTGCAACTTTGTTTTCTCCATCCTGCTTTTACAATAAATTATAGACTTTATTTTCCGAAAATTGTGCCTAGAAGCGTTACCACTTAATCCGATTCTATAGATTATAGTGTAACTTATCAAAGGGGATACATTTAAGGGACCTAAAATATATCGATTTGGTATACTGCACATGCATTTTAAGTGACACGTGCGGCAAACACTTTAACCTCTGCTCGCTCACACAGCAAGAAATAAATCAACTTCCAATTTCAAATATGTGACCTTAATTTTAATTTAAAAAGTGGCAACATTGAGCAACCGAAACTGAGCGAGGGGCAACGTGTTCTCCAACATTAAATCGAACCATCGTTAGACACCGCGATTCAATCTCCCTTCGGCTCTACCAGGTTAGAATTAAGGCGGTGTCATTAAATATCTTTTATCAAATGGGACTGCATCTCATTGGGGTTTTTAAAAATATAATTTCTGTAATGGAAATTATTTTTCCCCTTCCACAGTATACAGTGTCGTTATCCAGTAGCTACACGATCCTCTGTAGATTGGATGTAAAAAATAAATTGTGATTTTATTGTTATCTGAGTGTTTTTCGTGAAATCAGCCTGTATGCTAAATTACGTTGTGTATAACTACCATAAATAAATCGTTATACGTATATGTTCGTGCAATGATCCATACATTCC